TGTGTAGCCTGTCACTCTGAAGCCCTAAACTCCAGCTGGAAACGCACGATTGTCACTGTCACGAATTGTGGATTTCCCCGTGTATCCTGGCTTCGAGAGAATCAACAATTCACGCTTAACATTGCCGCCCCATGTACCTGCGGGTATATATTTTTTTAATGATTAAGGAGACGATGATGCTTCATTTATCGCGGCGTCTCGGCCAAATGCTTCTCCCGTGGCTTTTTGCGCCGCAATCGCAGAGCCGGTCCAGTTTCAGTGCCTTTCCTTGAATTGAATTATCAGAAAGAGCAGCCTCCCCGCTGCCCCGTTCTCCGTTGTTACGCAAGACACTCATCACGCCAGTATCACAACGCGCCGCGGCGGCCATTACACAGCAATAATTGACAGCTGATCTGGATTATCGTCACCTCGGCAAATCACCGGGTGCGAGAATCGATGCAAAGTCAATAACTGGAAGGAAGAAAGATACCCTAACAACCTCTGAGGAGATACATTTTTAGAACGAGCCATAGCGGTGGCAACGTCCGCACTGGGACAATCGATCACTTATCGAGCAAAGAAGCAGGTGCAGTCACATAGCTGACGTGACGTATTGATGTCACGGAAAGTGAAAACATTTCACAATGTTCCGTGGTTATAAGGTATTTATATGGATTTGTTTTCTTAAAGGTCATCGTTCTTTGGTTATTGTTCAATAGTAATAATTATTAATTTACAGTCCTTTGTAAACCCACTGAAGGATGAAAGCATAAACAGGCCGTGTTGGTTATGGAAGTTGTTTGGCCATACTTCACCACAATGGTCAGTGTCCGGTTTTGTGAAGGGAGGGCTCAGGACTGGTTCAGATGCCACGAGGCACTGTGATGTCAAGAGCGGTAGTGCGTTTGCCACTTGTTTCAAAGGTTCTAAGTTTGGGTCCCACAGCCGCCCTGGTTAACTTTGTGAATGCATTAACTATTAATGCACACCATCTGTGACATTATTCGAAAAGAGTAGGCCACGTGTGCTGGGGTCACAGTCAGAATTTTATATATGTCTTGCAAATTAATCAATTGAGAAAATGTGTCGCAAGTATCACCTCTACTGGTAGACTACATGATTTGCTGGCAATATAAGAATGGCATGAATACCAAATGTACTCATGCTTTGATTTTATATTGTTAGCCATGGCTGGGCATCAGACTCAGGTTGCCAACTTAAACAGTGCAGCGTGCTAAACACAGTGCAAAAATTCATCTTCACATCACCCAAATGCTCGGACAGCATCGGTTAAGATTGTGGAACTCATCGCGGATGAACATTGAATGTGTAATGCTCTCACCTTGAAAATGTCGCAAAGTACTTTGAAAATGACTGCATGTGTGCAAATATAATTGTTACTTAATTTGTTACAGTACGTTCGTTTTGTATATGTGTAGTGACAAATGCCGACTGCTGTACAGCAGCGGCAACTGCAGGTGGACGCTAAGCGCACACGCCGCTGAGCATATACACGGTGTGTGTGCCGGCAGGGCGGGATAACTGGGGCAAGGGTCATGGTAGACCTCGTGGGGAGGCCCTTGGAACCGTCTGGAGGGTTCGAGAAGGGAGGCGTAGCCAGGGCGGAGCCAGGCCGCGCAGAGGGGAATAAAAGCAGCGGAGAGCGAGACCTCCAGGCTGCCGGTTCTGGGAGTGAACTCTTCTCGTCGCCGCCGCCTTTGCCCAATCATTGCGCGGCCGGAGAGTGGTTGGCTGTCTCGGTCGACGCCATCGGTGCAACATGGATGGGGTCATGTCTGGGCCGGGTTGTGCGGCAGCGTGGTCATGAGAGAGGGGCCGGAGTTGGTGGTGTGAACACAACAACAATAAAAGGGAAGACTTTGCCTCCTGCGACTACCTCCTCTCCGAATGAGTGCGTATATGAGACGCACGTCGCCCGCACACACACACAAGCCTCGAGCAGAAGGAAGAATAGACCTACGACACTACATATGTACTGGCGGAGTGCTGGAGTTGTGGTCAACAAACTGCTCTATGAACCCGGTCATCGGAGTTCAATTCTGGGACAGGGCTAACATGAGGGGAACGATATCTGAACTGGTCCTTGTACTGACCTCAATTCTATAATCAACCCATCCTGACCAATGTGATGAAGTATGGTCAAACAACCCCCATGGACAACGCAGTATATGGAGGACTTCAGCCAGCAGCGGATTGGCAAAGGGCCGTGAATTATTATTAATTGTAATGTATCTAGCCGAGTTGGTAACGTGACCGAATAACCCAGGTTAACCGTCTAATTATTTAGTTTTCTCCTCCACCATCTCGTCAGACCTCGAAACGTGAGCAGGGGTTGAGGCGTGGCGATCACTGAGGACAGCGTGACCGCCAGGGAGGACCTGCCAGCAGCTGTCGCATTGCTGGAGATGGAAGGTGTTCTGCCTCACGGCAGGTGTTTTGCTCCATGGCAGGAGTGTAGGTGTGTGTAAACAAGAATTTCCTGTTTTGAGGATGAGTTTGGTCACGTGAACAGGAAGTTACAATTTGACAATCTTTCAACCACGAGGCTGGCATCCGCCATTACACAGAATAAAAAATGGTGGCACACATCGTGTCCCAGTGAAGACAGCCGTAACTGCACATTGTGGGACTTGAAGAAGCATTGTCTGTAAGTTCGTTTGTTCTTATAATATTGGGAATGCTGTTGTAATAAATGACTTCATCACACACTGCTTGGTCTCCGTTGCTCTTTATTCCGCTTCTTTCTCGCACCCCGCTGGTCTCGACAGCGGACCAGCGTCTCCTCACGCGCGCCCCGCACGCGCTCCCTCGTCAGTTCTTCCGCTCCTCCACTCCGCACACCGCTGGCCGACGGTGTGCCGAAGCCCCTTCAGCTACGTGGCTGATGGCGCGGATTCCCTCCGGCCACCCAACGTGGTCCAGCTTCCTGATTCTCCCAACTGACCCGGAGCCCTTCCGGGCTCCCACCTATATCCCCTTCACCACGTGATCCTGACTCCTCCTCTCACCACGCCCCTTCCGAACCTTCAGATCCGGCCTTCCCACAGCGCCCTGCTGGCTCCGCCCCTAAGCTCCGCCCCCACTCACCCCGCTTCTGATTGGACCCGAGGTGAACGGCGGGCCCTCCCATACGCCCCCATACTGGGCTCCGCCCCCCAATACCCCGGGCCGTATGATTGGCCCAGCAGCGAACCCGGTTTATGCTCGCATTACACTGTTATAATGTTAGAATTACAGTTATAATGCTGTAAATGCCTTTTATAATGCAGTTAAATTGTTATAATAAATACGAGGCCTAGTTAACAACGAAGCCTGCAACTTGCCTTATTGTGAATGTTACTTGTAATTGAATTAGTCGAGTCAAACTTGTACCCAAGTAACTATATTATGATCTTGAGAGCAAGGATGGTGAAATGTCTCATCCACAGCTCAGTGTTTTATGCAGTGCTGTACATTTGAGGTGAAGTGTGATGATTACACGATGTGCCTTTATTTAACACAGCTTATTCTCTTGTATAGCTGTTCAGTACTAATGTAGGTGCCTGGCCCATCCAGGATATATTGTTGAGTTTCAGGTTATCTAAGACAATGTTATGATGCTGTAGTGTTCATTCATTGTATTCATATTTCCAAGTATTAACAGATGCTGTATCTGTGCTGGCTTTTTCCATCGGTTTCACCTCGTTCAATTCAATAAATTACGTTTTGGAGTCGGATGTTCACCCTGGCTTTAAAGGTTTATTGGATGCGAGGTTAACTACTCGGATAGCGGTGCAACGCAGCGCACAGCGAGGCCGAGACAGAAGGTGTGGCGAGGAGAGTACGGGAGGGGCCCCCTCTTCTCAACTGACGGTCATTAAGTTGCACGAAATACGGTCGCCAAGTGATTTGGTCATTGGAGACTCAGTGAGGCTTTCCCCTGGGACACACAATTGACATCATCGATGTTATGATTTAGTTGAGAGTAAAATTGATTTCAATTCAAGATCTTTCATGAGGTTTCATGTATGCTGTTGGCTTCATTGCAATCATGAAAGACTGTTCAGCACTGTGACTGACAGATCCATTGGATGACTGTGAATGTGGATACAAATAGGGGGGAGCGGTGGCAAAGCGGTTAGCGCGCTGCACTTCGAACCAGGTGACCCGAGTTCGATTCCCACTCACGGCCATCATAGGTGCTGCACACTAACAGCACTTGCCCCAGCAGTCTGTTACAGGCTATACGGGGGATCTTTATCTTGAACAATGTTTACCGTTCAGCTTGAGGACGTGATATGCGTGATACACAACAGGCTCCCGTTATTTAAATAACATAACCCTGTAATGCGTGCTGATAAAAAAACAATCGTACATTTCATTAATTTAATCAGATAGAGAACCTTTTGATTGCAAGTTAACTCTCCGTTATCGGGGGGGCGGGGGGGGGGGGTTACGGATTAACCGTACTTGCAAAACAAAACTAAACAGAAAATGTGTCATTGCATGTTCTTTTGTGCTCATCGCTGTGCATCCTCGTTCTGTCAGCAAGGTGATCCTCTCTCGCAATGAGGAGCAGTAGACATGAGATGACACATTCTATGTGGATCCGTCTCCCCCCCCCCCCCCCCCATTCGATCGCTCACTAGATTTGCGTTCTTCTGCCGAGTGCATTTCTCATCCCTTGGTCAAGTTTAAATACTTCCCCAGTTTTTGTTCGATGCGACCCCCGTAAACCATGCATCTTCCATGCAACACACTCGGCCTTTTTTTGGCCGCATCTCCAATGAAAAACAGAGCGTCTGAGCTCCATGGGCCTTACCCAAAATAAACCGACCGAGTGGTTGAACAATACATTTGTTTGCTGCTACGTAGCCTGATTAGCATGAGTTTTGCATCGTACGTATTTCTGTTTTGTCCATTTCATCGCTCCCACGCATAACCCCTGATTAGTCTAGAGGTTCGCCGTGTATATATTCCAAATTAGAATCGATACGGACTGCACACGTGACATCACGCCATGTACGAACGTGTTTATTTGAAGAGCGCTGAAACGCCAGGTTTCGTTTTTTTTTAAATAACGAATACTAAAATAAATAATGGTTATAAAGTTCCATATCACATGCGCACCGAATAAAACAAATGACACTCTCAAGAGCAAAAATTCAAGTCATTCGTGTTGCTGTTTGCAAGTGAAACACAACTGATTTCGAGTTTCAATTGCCGTGGATTAACGTAACGAAAATCAACTGAAGCGTTTAATCGGACACAACGGATATATTAAAAGCGTGAAATTAGTGCGTGATTTCCAGAACAAGCTTCGCAATTCCTCAAATTAAAAATGTACATTGCCCAGGATATTATTTCCTCTAACGAACGGTTGCTGCGCTTGGCAGGGCAATGACTTCCATGCGGCGTTTTCTCGAATTCACGGTCCGTGTCCCGACTTGGCTCTACGACGCAAACAAAAACAAGCACACACAAAAAATAAGTATAACCCGTAAAAACAAAGTTTTTCACTCTAAATCCTTTATATGCGTGGCGGCTAGAGTCCTGTCGTCCTCTGGCTTGAGATGGCTGCCACCTATGGGTCAGATGATTGTCTGCAGTATTAAACAATTGGTAATTAAATATTTAATTTGTTTTCCCTAAACAGTGTAACATTTTGGAATGTTTTTTTCACGAACATTAATTGTCTCGCACAACGAGTCTGTGTGCAAAATGTCAGCTCGATTGGATCACGGGAAGTGGGTTAAAAAACGACCGAAAGGTTTGCACGGTCGTAAGCAAGCAAGCAAGCACGCAAGCACGCAAGCAAGCAAGCAAGCGAACTTAATATAAAGGATTTAAAAAACACCCAGTCCATTGCAATCCTTCACGTTCATGAGCACAGCATCGTATACAGCAAACCAGCCCAATCTGGGGGAAAGAGCCATTCCAGTTATGGAGGGTGGGGGGTGTCTGTAAAATAATATAATAATTGTTAAATAATTATATCTTAATTACAGTTACACATAATGAACATTGAAGGCATGTTATCACCGTGTTCGCTAGTGCGTTGTGTCGGTGTGCTGTTAGCGCGTTGCTTTGGGCTCATGCGATAGTTTGCATATTCGCTCGCAAAGCCATTGTCATCGTGTCTGTTATAACACTTGGCTAAGCATTGACGGTTTATTATTAAAAATGTAATCAATCTAACAAACAAAAAAACACTTTCGTGTAATTTCAACCGATCCACCACCGCCGCATCGCACGAAGTCCAGGAGTGGAAGGCTGTGGTAAACCGCACGGCTGGTGAGATGTTGCGAGGGGATTGAACATTTTGCTTGGTTGCAAAAATAAATGTAACACAAATCATTTGGCGTTGGCTGGGGGGTACCGAGAGGGCACAATCAGAGCACGTGGCATCCAGGGGGGCATGGGTTCACCGAATGTCATACAGTGGAAGGGTATACAGCCTTAGAATTGCTTCTGCACAAAAGCATGCCGGCCTTTATCCTACCCCTCAGAGCTTCATTAACGAGTCTCGAAGTTTTTCTGTGATTGGTGTTTTTTTTTCAATGTTTTTTTATTTAAAGTAGCCTCTGGGTTTATCTCAAAATCTGTCTCACTTAATTTCGGATTTTAGAGGGGTTTTTTTCTTTAATAAAAACGATGTCACAATAAAAAAACTCAAATCATGTGAGCCATGTATAATAAAAACAATCTTTAGCGCATCAGCCTATGGGCTTTCGAGACCAATTTTCTCCAGCAGAATATGTTTACACGAGTAAACCCTGGACCCGTTTGAAGCGTGAAATATTTTGTAAATCTTTCTGACACATTGGTAAAAACGAATTCAATGTCTGCAGAATGGACAAAGGAAGTTTATTGAAGTGATTCTTTGTTTTGCATTGAACCTTTGAGACTCAGTGAAATAATGACGATCTTTAGAGGCCAATCTTATTATTTTATTTACATAACTTTTTTTGTTTTTACAAACCATATTCCACTGCAGTATTCTATTACATATATGCTTGTTGTATAATATATACAAGCTTTGGGCCATTTTTATTTATCGCTGGGTTCACACTGAGCCAAATCAGGATTCACTGGGAGACCACAAGTAAGGTGATACTCCCACAAGTATAATGGTTGGTGCATCGGACTTGCAATCGCCGGTTTGATCTCCTGGCACGGCAGTTGAAATGATGGAGCAAGTTTCTTAAATCGCCCCGAAAACACCTGCCTACCCAGCAGTGTGAACACGTCCCCCGAAGTTTAGTGAATCCGTCAGATCGCGGTGTGGTGGGGGTAATGCGAGGCTAACTCCTCCTCCGAGACGTCTGGGCTGCATGGAAGAGTAGGCCAAATACTTCCGAGAGGGGAGCTATGTATAATTGAGACTCGTTTTCTAGCAGTGGCATGAGCAAGTCGTTTCAGGGCAGTACCTTCGCGATAATATCGGTGAACAGAATCTTGCTTACCTTGGCAAAGCAAACTCTTCAGGGTCTGGGCTGTAGGCCTTGTTTATTCCAGACGTGTACATCGGACTGAAAAACAATGACGGCCAACGAATGAATCCGCTGTTTAGTAGCACGTGTTAAAAAAAACAATCCCATGTCCAACGAAACCTTAAGGAGGAGGCCAGGGGATAGAATGCGCCTGAGAGGATGACAATCGTTGGGGTTTTCTCTGGCCGCTCTGGTTTCCTCCAATGTCAAACCAAACACTCACACGTGGGAGCTGGTCAAACATCCCAAATGCAGGACCCTCCTGTAAAAAAGAGGGTCTTGAGATTGTGAGGCTTTCCCAAAAGGATAACTGGCGTTGTTATATTTAATGCCATTGTTGTATCTATTGTTAATTGCTATTGTTTTATACATATGTAGAGGAGTAAAATGGGGACGTGACGTCAGGTGTGCCGTTCAGTGCGATGACGTCACGTCTCCTAGGGTACTTAAGGGAGACCCCGTGACGTAAGCGGGATCACTGTGGGAACGGGTAGAGTAAGCAGGGTGAAGAGGGAACCAGGGGTAGAGAGGGATCGAATGGTGAGGCTGGGGAGAAGCCGGTGGTAGCCGTAGAGGCGCTTCTCTCTCCGCTCGGTGGAGTCGGCCGAGTCCACGATCCGACACGAGAGAGAGAGACCGGAGCTAGCTGGCAGGGACCCGGACTCAGAGTAGGACCCTTTGCCCCTGGGAATTGTGTACCCTTGTGTGTTATTGTTAAGCTTTAATAAACCCTGGCGAAAGCCTTTAACTTACCTCCATCTCCGAGTACGTCCGTGGGAGCTTCTCTACATATATATTGTCATAGTTTATGCCATTGCCGTATCTGGATGCTGCTGTGGTGTAATGGTTTGCATGTTGGACTAGAGGTCACTGGTTCGATCTCCTGGGGTGGCAGTTAACACAATGGGAAAGTTTCCTAAATCCCCTCCCACGACTGCCTCTGTCCAACCAGCAGGATTAATGTTTTGCACCACAGTTAGTCGATAGTAATTCTGTAATGTTGAACTTCTTTCGCACCGTACATAGCCAACCATGCTAGTCGGAGGTCCTATAGGCAGGTCACGTGTGGTGGGATGTAGTCAGGGATCTCCCGCCTATGGCCGTGGTGAAAGAGTAGACCAAATGCCCTCTAGAGCAGTGTTTCTATCCCTTTACTGCAGCCTTGGTTCTCAATCGTAAAAAAAATGTATGTAATAAATACATAGGTTTAATGAAACAAAGTAGTTGTACTTACAGGGCCGTGCATCAATTGTTTTGATGATTTACCATCTAAAAACACCTGGCATGTCTCGCACTCCCAGAAAGGGCATCTCACACTCCCAGGGGGTGCGTGCACCCCAGGATAAGAAGAACCACTGCCCTAGAGAGTCCCTCCAGAGCTCCCTCTAGTGTAGGCCCTTCCACCAGCAGTGTCAGTGAGAAAGCAATTGCAGGTACTGCGCCTTGACGCTTTTAAAACTGTATACGTATTTCAAAAAATTCGATTATACACGGTTTTGTTGTTGTTGCTTATTTACCTCTCAAAGACATCTTCTTTTTTCATTCGACGGAAGTACTTGGTCCAATTTGACGGCGAAAATGAGACTGATGAACAAGAACACCAGGGCCCATCCCAGGCCAAACCAAATGCCATTCTGCAAGAGACAATCACTTCGAGTTGAATTCGCACGATCGTGTGATACGACGATTTATACGGTAATACTACTGATATAATAAGTGAGCAAGTTTCACTGAATGTCACATTTAAATAAAAAAAAGGTCAATTGTGCACAGTGATGACAGTCTAATAAGGGGTGAGGCTAGGGTTTCCCACCTGTCCAGGATTGACCGGCACCAAAATTATTCCTTAAGAGTGTAACGATATTAATGAGCAGACAATCCGCCTCCTTCCCATTTCTGTACCGCTACATAAAAGTGTTCTTATACTTCCCATCAATCACAGAGCCCTCTGAGAGTGCATTATTTCAACAGCATTGGTTGACCGGTTGTGACATTCGATGTCTCATTGGCTGAGTGCGGCTGTCTCTAGAAACATCGGACGAATCTTGCTGTTGGCTTCCAGAGTGTATGCAAAGGAGATGTTATCACACACACACAGTGGCAGTGCAGACCTTACCAGTGAATCAACGACGCAGCTGCAGCCAATGATGTGGATTGAGTCAACAAGATTTGCCACGGGCAGGCAACCCCCCATTTCCAATCGTATCTGCACAGACACAATTTAACACATGGGTGGAAAGCGTGCAAAATAATAATGATAAAAATAACCATTCACTTGAGCCACTTCAAGAGATGAATGCCGCTCTGTGTAATATTCCAGTGTCAAAGTTAAACAATTGGTCTCCGAAATCCACACACCCCCTTCTTAAATAATATACAAAGGCAGTTTCGTGATGTTTATTGAAATATATTTAGTGCTTGAAATGGGCCGCTATGCCACACATGCACTTCTCAGAACACAAACATACAAACTGGGGAAACACGGTTAACTTGGGCTGCAGGATAAATAGATTTCGTAATTCTCTACAGGAAATCCATTTCAACCACTGTATATCTGTACCTATGTATAGTGTAAACGGTTAGCTACGTACGGCGCGAAAGAAGTTCAACATACGTACATAGTGTGGTGCAGTGGTTCGCTCATAAACAATGAACCTTGTGACCTGAATAATTTCCAGCTACAGCAGTATGTATGTTGAACTTGTTTCTGACCGTACGAAGGTGCGGGGGAAGGACAACAAACTAAAAACAAACAAGCTAAAGACCAAACTAAACACACATCAGTGGCCGATGTACAATGTGTATCATTGTTGTTTCCATCTTCCCCTGAATTGTCACCGATCGTGCTATCGGTGTCGCACCACGAGAGATGAAGATTCCAATCGGATCGCTTGCAGTGCAGGCTCTCGTGTTAGAGGGACAGACCACGGAAGTGGATATTGCAGAACTGCCTCTGACTTCCCTTCAAGTGGCTTTCTGGTGCAAACACAGTCGAGGGGGAGCACTTTCCACTCGCTCTGCATATGAGAGTTGAGGTTCGTCGCACAACCGTCAAACCGATATTTGAATTCTCACAGCTGGAATTCACCCAGATTAAGTGCAGAAACAAATGAAAGGAAAGTTGTGTGTGTATGTGTGTGTGCAGCCATTGGTGTCCAGGCTGAGACCATCAACTCAATACACGTGAAGGAATCATGGGCAGCTGAAACCTGGATTCAAACTCAGGATCTCAGCGTGGCAGCTCAGTGCCCTGAACTCCGAGCCACCGAGCCAGCCCTGAGATGTGTACGTGTGGCCTCACCATTCTTTTGATCCAGCCAATGTAGAGGTCAAAGTCCAATATGAGAAAGTCAATGTAGTTTGATATTTCCTGTCGAAGGAAAATGTAACGGAAGATATTTTTAGTTTACATGCAAAATAACCAAAATAAGTATCAAATAATTTCTGCATGAAAATCTATTGCTCTATTTTTTTTTACAGTTGTTAAACTAAAAATGTTAAATGGGGTTACATGAAAAACCTTTCTGAGTCTCAAGACTCATTTTTTCCTGGAGGGCCCTGCCTTGGGATTTTTGTTCAAATTCCCCGGCCTTTTTGGTGTCCACGTGGGAGGAAAGCAGAGAACCCAGAGAAAACCCACAGAGCACTTGGGTGACACTGAGCACTGTCCCGTTTCTGGCCACATCTCGCAGCCCCACACCTACGACACCTGGCAAGCCCCGGTGGGCACCCATCCAAGTACTAACCAGGGTCAAATCCTACTTAGCCTCTGTGCTCTCATTTTGGGTGACTTGACAATTGGGTGGATGTCAAAAGCGTGCCGTATAACACCGGCACTGACAGTCAGCTTCGTGTTATTTTCCCCATCTCTCCATGGAACGTAGCATTCCCAGTTTTCAGTATTCATGATATACGTACAAGATTGACGACACTTGATGAAATGTTGGTCAGAACATTCTGCGCATTGTCCAGCTGAGCGATCAGAGCAACCGTCTTGTTCTGCAACGACACCACCATAGACACAATTCACGTAAGTTCCTCTCACGATTAGAGCTTTGCCGATGCAGCAATAAATCGATTGAAATGCGTTATTAAGCTCACGATACACACACTCAATCGTGTGCTTAAGAATGGATGTGTTTTTTCAAGTCGTGTCTATTGTATGTCATGGGTTGACATGATAGCCACAAGATTCCTAAAGGATGATAAACACCAGAACATTCTCGAATGAGCACATTAATGACTCGCGCATCTCGATGGGCATGGGCGCAGCCCTGCAACTGTTTGCTCGCACCACTGCCGGCAGAACGGGTTCCACTCGAGGGATCTCTGGAGAGCCTCACTGCAGCAAAAATTAAGGGAAATACAACCTTAGCAACATTTACCTGCTCATTCATTCTAGATTTGAAGTTTTTGTGACTGCAAGGGTCCATACTCTTTGGTTTTTTCGGTAAAGTCACGTTGGTTAAAAAGAAAGAAAAAGGAAAGAAAGAAGAAAAGAAAAGATAAAGAAAGAAAAAAGAAAAAAAGAAAATAAAAAAAATATTTTCTTTTTTACCTACGTGACTTTACCTAAAAAACCAAAGAGTATTTACCTGCTCATTATAAATATTTTAGACTCCATAAACCCCCTCCTCACCCCATCACCCCCCACCGAGATACATCTGGCAGGTCACTCACATTTGGTCAAGCTCGCCTGACTGTGCTGACGATATAATGAATCTAGATTTGAAGTTATACAATGAATGTCAAAACTGCTCCAAATGGAAGGCCATTTGGCTGATGGGATGTGTAAAAAAATACACGAATATTTTATATATGGATCGAAAGATTATTGTCTGATAACACTATGTAACACAATTTTTGTTCCTGGGTACTAAGTATTATTTTTTAATTGCTTATGCCGAATAAGTGTAGAAAATGGCTATTATTTCCCACAAACTTTGCTTTTGTGACCAGGACTTTACGTAAACGAAAAGACACAAATTCACCCGTTTTCTCATTCAAAATAGGTACATTTCAAAATATCAATGTCCTGGTCACAAAAGCAAAGTTTGTGGAGAATAATAGGCACTTCCTGTACTTTTTAGGCATAAGATATTAGGAAATAATACCTACTACCCAGGAACAAAATGTATTTTTGTTACACAGTGTAATTATCTTGTGCCTGGTTATACATTCACTCCTCTATTCATCTACTTATCTAATTAAAACAATGGCACGATGTTATTTCACTATATTTTGTAACATATTCATGCAATGTATGGTTTGAAAAAATAAGAATAGATTTTACCCTTTCTGGAAGTAAAACGGGAGGTGTTGGGGTAGGAATCAAGTTCGCATTAAGCACACGTACTTGTGGTGAACATACAAACAAATTCTTGTGTTTTCATACTTTGGTATTGGCAACAACAAAAAGGTCCCATTCTGTAGCTGCTCACACCGAGCTATAAATGCTCTGATCGTGACATTGTCTTTGTACTGTTCGTCTTTTGGCGTTCACTGGCCTGACACTGGTGAGACCAGGCCCTAAAGATGGCCGTCTCTGGTGTAGGCCAATCAGTTTCAAATACAATGCAATACAGTAAAACCTTGGATTGCGAGTAACTTGGTCTGCGAGTGTTTTGCAAGACGAGCACATTTTTTAAATAAGTATTAATTTGATAAACGAGCGAGGTCTTGCAATACGAGTAGTACGTATACGTTTTGTCTGCCGAGCGTCACGTGATCACAACTGATATACGAGTTTAACACGTAGGCTTTCGCGAACAATATTATTCATAATCACCGTTTTTGGGTTTAGATCGTGTTATTTATAAATGTGTCGTAACCCTCCACCACCCGACACGGCCAATCAGTAAAAAAGTGTCACGTTGACAAAAGACAAATAGTTCACTGCTTTAGCCCACCAGTGTGTTGAAGCGTGAAACCATGTTTTAGCCCACCAGTGTGTTGAAGCGTGAAACCACGCTTCAACACACTGGTGGGCTAAAGCAGTGAACTATTTGTCTTTTGTCAACGTGACACTTTTTTACTGATTGGCCGTGTCGGGTGGTGGAGGGTTACGACACATTTATAAATAACGCGATCTAAACCCAAAAACGGTGATTATGAATGATATACGAGTGCTTTGGATTACAAGCACGTTTTCGTAACGAAATATGCTCGCAATCCAAAGTTTTACTGTATATTATTATCAGAGATAACTTGATCCCTTGCACAAGGTTTCTATTTGGTGTTTGAACATCTTAGCACCTGTTTTATTGCCATTAAGGGTAAAACTTGTTCTTATTTTTTCAAACTTTGATACTAGCAAAAAAGGTGCCATTTTAACATATTTTTTGCAAGGGAGAGAACGTTCTTACGGATATATTGGATGTATCCTCCTGAAGAAGGACGATACTTGCTCCCATCAAATCCTACGAAACAAAAGATGCACAAGATGCATATTAGTCACACAGTGTCAACAGGCGTACTTATTGATTAGCACATATTCTCAACTAATCACGATAAAATTGCATGGTTACGCATCGTCGATATCGGCGAGTTCGGAATTGAACGCGGCAGTGAATTGTTGTAGGTGTGGTAGTTGTGATGGGTGGGCCGCGTGTGTGGTGGACAAAATGGAGCAGGGCAGGTTAGTGAAGGGGTGACCGGAGGTTGGCGACCAGAGGGCAGAGTGGGCCAGCACCAGGCCAGTACTGGTTCAGATACCACAAGCCAATGATTTTAGCGATGGCCGGGAATCGAACTCGGCTCGCCGGATTCCTAGAGGAGTGCACTCTATAGGTTGCGACGCCGCTCCTCCCAGCCAAGTTGCAGTTGGGGAGTTCAAATTGTCAAGTTTATTTTATTTAACTCCAGAGACCAGGATAGAGTGCATACCTGTCAACCCCTAATCATTGCCTTTCTTATTTCAGACCAATTCAGACCTTATTGGTCACCCCGCGCCCCTTATAAATCTCAACGTTCATCCTACAAAGTCCCATCACAGGGTAGAAACACAAACAAATAGACGCGTTTTTTTTTGCCCGTATTGAAACGGCAAAGTACGCTGTATGGACCTGAAAACTCAATTTCCCTGCACAAAAATACGGGTAAACCGTATGGGTTGACAGCTATATCGGTACTGTACCAATTTGCAGGTAGATTTTGTTTAACTCCGAGACACAACGGCTTGCGAATGGTGATCGTAAAATCGTCCGCTGTCGAGCAGTTATTACAGACCGCGGCATTGACCAGGGCGGCCGCTGGAATTCGAACCTCTGCAACAAGCGGCGAGCTCTTTGCCACTGGGCCGCGTCACCGGCCCCCCAGTCGTCGCTCAACAGGGGGCCGAAAATGTTTTGCAACGACCGTGCAAGAGTAAAGTAAGAGCGATAGTGAAGCTGGTAGCTAGCAGCAAGCGTTAGGAAGACTGACCAATTCCTGAGTAGGCATGTCTCTGTCGATGTCCTCGAGTTGGCTGGCAATCCCGCTCAACACAGCGCCACTCAGATTTTGCTGGAGATGCGTGAAAAATAGAATATTACGTTTCTCAAGGAACATGCAGTTAATCACGAACAGAGTTGCACTTGTCAAACATGCAATGGAACCTATTCGACAAAGTCGTTGTCAACCTTTACCTGCACCCTTGCACCCCTTTGGTTCTCAACCATTCAAAAAGTATAATGTTAATAAATACACAGGGTTTGATGAAACAAAGTAGTTGTACTTACATGCCCGTGCTTCATTTGTTTTCACGATTTACCCTCTAAACAAAATCTGGCCAGAAAGGGCATCTCGCACCCCTAGGGCATGCAGCGTGCACCCCAGGTTAAGAACCATTGTGTTAGACGAAGACGTCACAGTTATTTCAAATCGATGAATCGATCAACACTCATTTGTTTCTCGGAGAGTCGCATTTGTGCCAGTGACCCAGTGAGTTCGCAAGGGAGATCCGTGGTGCATCAGCACAAGGACAACAGCAACAACATCAGAGTGATGCAACGAGATCACACGCAACGAGTCTTGCCAATCAGTGATGTTGAATAACTAGATGACTAGCAAGGTGAAGGTGCAGCCCTGCAATGGCTCGCTCACACCACTGCTGGCGGAAGGGCCCTTCCACCGTTCGATGTTTTGCCTACTCTTCCGCGCCTAAACAAAGGTGTCAGAAGAGGTGGACGTAACCACACTTTACCCCAACCACACGTGACCTACATGCTGGTCAACGAACTGCACCGTAGCCGTTGACACTGCTGGCTGGACTGAGGGTGGGGAGAATTGAGAAACTTGGATCGTTGATTCAACTGCCGCGCAATTGATTCAACTGCCGCGCCATTGATTCAACTGCTGCGCCATTGATTCAACTGCCGCGCCGCTGATTCAACTGCTACGCCATTGATTCGACTGCTGCGCCGTTGATTCAACTGCTACGCCATTGATTCAACTGCTGCGCCATTGATTCGACTGCTGTGCCGTTGATTCAACTGCTACGCCATTGATTCAACTGCTGCGCCGTTGATTCGACTGCTGCGCCGTTGATTCAACTGCCGCGCCGCTGATTCAACTGCTGCGCCATTGATTCGACTGCTGCGCCGTTGATTCAACTGCTACGCCATTGATTCAACTGCTGCGCCATTGATTCGACTGCTGCGCCGTTGATTCAACTGCTACGCCGTTGATTCAACTGCTATGCAGTTTATTCAACTGCCGTGCCGTTGATTCAACTGCCGCACCATTGATTCAACTGCCGCACCATTGATTCAACTGCCGCGCCGTTGATTCAACTGCTACGCCGTTGATTCAACTTCCATGCAGTTGATTTCAACTGCCGCGCCATTGATTCAACTGCCGTGCCGTTGAATTAAACTGCTGCGGCATTGATTCAACTGCTATGCCGTTTATTCAACAGCCGCGCCATTGATTCAACTGCCGTGCCGGGAAATCAAATGGAACCGGCGACCCCTGGAAAGGATGCCCACTGCTGTGCTAACCATGACACCACGGCATCATTATTCTTGTTACGAGGCACTATTGTTGTATTTGTATATGCAAGGCAAACTTACCCCGCTCAGTACGAATTTTCTCAGCTCGAATGCATATCTGGGCAGGTTTGTATTCACGAGTCCTTTGTCAATCTAGAGGTCAAACAACGCCGGCACCCAGGACACAATGTGTCATGAAATCAAAACATTAGTGCATTTGACAGGCATATTCTTAGGTTTTTTCGGTAAAGTCACGTAGGTAAAAAAATTAAATGTAAATTAATAAAAGTAAAATAAAAATAAAATAAAAATAAAAATCACGACGTTTCGGAGGCAACACAAGCTTCCGTCTTCAGGAGGAACCGACACAGCACGATTGCTGTATCAAGTAAATGAGAGATACAAGAGATACCACTCCGTATATATAATGGTTGAGGGGGGGGGGAGATGGCCAGGAACGGCCCACTTTTGATTATTATGTGACGGTTCCACCTGAAGACGGAAGCTTGTGTTGCCTCCGAAACGTCGTGATTTTTATTTTTATTTTACTTTTATTAATTTTAATTTTAATTTTTTACCTACGTGACTTTACCGAAAAAAACTAAGAATATGAATCCTTGCAGTCACGAAAGCTTCAAATCTAGAATTGACAGTCATGCCATCACTATAGCGCAAGGCAATCACCAATCCACTACGTTGCATGGATTTAAGAGTGTTTCAGTCGGGGGGGGGGGTGAGGGTTATGTTCCAATGCGGTTTCCCAGGTGAGTTATTTGCAGGTAACTTTTTCAAATTCGGACCATGGCGGTGGCTCACATGGCCTAGAATTTTTAGAATAACGTTATGAGTTCTTTAACATCCACCTTGAAGCAAAAAGCTATTTTTTTAGAGGGGCGGGGGATGGGGTTAATACTGTGCTCATTGTATGTAAATATATTTGTTTTTCTTTACATGTGGGGGCACATTATTGTTGTTAGAGATGTTAACTAACTCTCCTAGTATACAGGAGGTCGTGGGTTCCATCCCGACCCTGACACCTGTGTATTTGGAGTTTGCACGTTCTCTCTCCCCGTGTCCACGTGAATTTTTTTCCGCATCCTTTAGTTTTTCCCTCCACATTGAGAAACATTCGTTTAGATTATTTGGCTGCGATCAATTTCCACGTGATAAGCCACTTCGTTGACCTATCATTTGTGGCTAGGTTGCTTCTGAAAAATAACTATATATAGCTCAGTGGGCCTTACCTGGTAAAATGTAAATATATATATGTTTGATACTCTTGTGTCGGCATTGCCAGAGTGTTGATACTGGCTGTGGCGTGCACTGCTTGTGGGATAATTCGACGTGAGCCCTGGGCTTCCTACCCAGTGCCGTAGTCCTCACAGTCTCTGTAACGACACCAGGCGTTTCTACCCGTGTCGTAGATTTATCCCCGTACAGATGTGAATTTTTTTTCAAAACAACGCAAAAGAGTGGTTGTTGGTCTCACTTTCCGGTGAGAGAATTCGGAAATAACAGAGTTTGTTATTTTTACGAGCAACAATTAACAAACATTATGCTCACCTGTTCCAGAAATAAGTTATAGGGAATTGAGTCCACCCTGGAGTTGCCAAAATCACGTATTATGTCTTTCCCTGCTGGATCCAGAAGGTTAACGCTTGACAAATCCACATTGATCCCACTGATATCATCCTTGATCTTTTGTACGTACTGCAAGCGCACACAAACACACACACACACGCGCACTGGTGTATTAGCGTACTGCAAACACATGAAGACAAAGATTCCCCGTATAGCCTTAACAGGCTGTTGGGGCAAGTGCTGTTAGCGAGCACCTATGAAGGCCGGCACGGTACACGAGGGTGTGGGTGGCCAGCACCACGCCCGACCACCCTTGTAGCAATGTTGACACATTGCATCAGGTACTCATTTTGAAGCTGAGTCGACCTAGGGGAGAATCAGTATTGGTTCAGATAATAGTCGTCACTGGTGTTGGCCACACTACCGCTCCCCACAACAACAACAACAAAAAACTACACACCATAAAGAAAAAGGAACAGGGAGGAAACCGTACTGCAAAGACCGAAACACGCACACACTCACCCTTGAGTGTTAGAAGACACACCTAATTTGCCCAGAAGTTGCATGGAATTTTAAACGACGATACAGCATGTTCTAACATGTCACGCTGACTTTAGAACAGGAATACTGACAAAAAACTGAAAAAAATTGTAACGTAACATTCTGAAATAAAAAAAAATAAAAAAATATTTGCAGTGAACATTCTACCACACAAAAGTAAATACTCATAAGTTGGGCGAGTGGCTCAACAGCAGAGTGAGGGGGGCGCATTCAGGAGGACACGAGTTCAAATCCCGGTTGAGGGGCTGACTCAGCCCATCATCTCGTCGGGGAAAATAAAATTAGTACCACTTTGTGAATAGGTCGACGATGGTTATCCTATTGAGAGCTTTGCCACTTTGACAGGATTGTGAAATCGGCTGCCACAACACCAATGGAGAATAGCCCTTTGAGACTTTCAGATGAGATAGAGAACATGTCTCAATGGAGTGATTGGGACGGATATTGGACAAATTAAGAATAGATGGAATACACATACACGTTAAAAGTGGCAATTTAAGGAAAGGGGACATTTTATATATGAAGTAGTGAATAGAGAATGGCTACCCATGTTTTCCCGATCGTCTGTAATTCTATCACAACGTTTCTCAACTTCTGAATCTCTCATCTGATGATTGACAGCTCATGTGACCTCGAGATGTGGCAGCGCAACTTGGCCAGGAGATGGCAGTCCGGTGATGGATTCATGATTATTGAATCCATCGTATGATTCTTGAATTCATCCGTGCGGAATTTCAACTGTCACCCCCACATATGAACGAGTCTTCCCCTTGCGCACTCGTGTTCATTTAAAACTGAGCAAAACATCCCAATGGACGTTCGACGAGGCCTTCCTGGGTAAATAATCGGCATTATAATCACCGCTGTCGTGTCCACGCTCGGTCCGTGACCGTCTCGTCATCTCCAATGGCCAGCGAAGGTCAGAGAGGTAAAGGTGCAGCCCTGGAAGTGCCCACGCCGTATCCCACCACACGTGACCTGACTATTGACTAAGCTGCGATGTACGCAGTTAGGGGCCGTCCATAAATGACGTCACGCGATTTTGGACGATTTTTGACCCCCCCCCCCCCTCGTCACACGGCGTTACAAAAAGTCAGACCCCCCCCCTAATATTACGTCACAAAGCTCTGCCCCCCCCCCCCCCAAATAAAAAATGCTTTAAATCGCTTTAAACTATTGTCATTGTAGTGCCTATTTAATGTGGCGCTACACTCTGATGTTGTAGGAGAAAACATTCATCAAAAAGTCGATTTATTTTCTTGGTTCTTTCGGTAAAGTCACGTAGAAGGGAAATAATAAAATTGTATTATTTCCCTTCTACGTGAATCCCTGCAGTCACGAAAGCTTTAAATCGAAATTTAAGTAGATTTAATTAAGTAGAACGTGTTGTTGATATGTATTTAAAGTTGCGCATTTTGATGTGACGTCACATTTCTCAAACCCCTCCCCCCTCGTCACACATCGTCACAAATGTCTGACCCCCCCCCCCCCCCCCCAGGTGCGTGACGCAATTTATGGACGGCCCCTTATGCCGCTGAGTTGACGAGAGGCGGGAGGGCAATTCGACAAACGTGACCCACGTGTCCTGCTCCCGAAGCAGGGAGGTGAAACCGGCGAACCCCGGTAGTGCAAGTCCAGTGTGCGAATCGTAGCGGAGTGGTGCATTACAGTGGCGGCTCCTGCAAAATCTCTCAGGGGGGGCAAATGTTTGGATGTTTGGTCCACCCATGCAATGGATAAATTAACAGCTTAAGCATGTAAAGGCAACTTCACTTCTTTAATATTAATGAAAATTAAAGTGACTCTTACAATACATATTGTTTGTTTCTATACTCACTATTATTACAATCCACTCAGTATCTTTTATTAAAGATTCCACTAGGTAGCAACAAATAATATTGTTGACTGAAACGTGCTTACGTATGATGACGTAAGCACGTTAGTGCGAGCCCTCCCGGAAGCCATAGAGAATGCATTGCAGCGCCCGCCGTTCGAAAAAAAACATCTTTGAATGTAAGTCTATGGGAACACTCTGGGCGATTCTCAGCCAGAGTGAAATCGCCCAAAAAGAGGCGGTACTCCACAGAACGTGACATGACGCTGATTGGACTATATCCAGAGGCACAGTAACGGCTGAGATTGGTGGTACGTCGCCCAATCGCCCTAATGAAGAAACCGCCCCTGGGTGCATACAAAACAACTCATTCCAGCGCGAAGAGACACATCGACTTTGAATACCTCTTGAATATCAATGAGGTCATCCAGGTTCTGAAATTGATCCATTTTCAATGTGGAGTAGATTGCAGCGTCACGCTTGCAGTCCCTGTTTCAAAGTGAAATAAAAACACGCAGACAATGCTGCAACAGGGGAATGTTTGACTAAAAAGTGAAAATGGCAACCATAAACCATTGACGATGATTTACAGATTAACACATAACACGTAAATAATTGTACATTCCAGTTTAGCTATCTTTGTGTGTAGTTTCTTTTCAAGGTGAAGGCCAAGAATGTATCATAGACAATGCCGTTGTGGACACCACACCACAATATTCTTCTGAGACATATAAATACATATTATTGGTTCTTTCGGTAAAGTCACGTAGAAGGGAAATAATAAAATAATAATAATGTTGAACAATACAATTCTCACGACGTTTCGAAACATCGTGAGAATTGTATTGTTTAATATTTGTATTATTTTATTTTATTTTTATTATTGTATTATTTCCCTTCTACGTGACTTTACCGAAAGCACCAAGAATACGAATCCCTGCAGTCACGGAAGCTTTAAATCAAAATATAAATACATTTCCAAATTTTAGTAAGTTTGTTTGATTATGTGTGTTTTATCTCTCTCTCTCTCTAACCCTGTGTGTCCTCGCGTTGTTATTCTATTATTTCCTGCAGTCACGAAAGCTCCAAATCTCTCATTGACATGCTAATTTCTCTACCCCCCCCCCTCTCTGCCCCCCTCTCTCTCTATTTAAGGCCTCGATACAGAGGCGTTGTTTCTCTGTGTGCCTATGTTGTGTGTCTCTCTCTGTGTCTCTGTGTTTATCTCTCTCTGCTTGTGTGTCTGTCTGTGTGTCTCCGTGTCTGTGTTCTGTCTCTCTCTCAGATTCAGCACTCTTTGGAAGAATGTAATCAACCAGGTAGGGTGTTGACTGTTATGTTAGCCGACTATCTGTGTTGTATTGCATTATATTTGTAAGTTTACTAGGTTTGTTTTCTCTTTCATTTATACCTTATGATGATTGCTTGTGTTGCAATCGAAACGTCGTATGTTATTAATTAATTATTATTTTCTTTCTACGTGACTTTACCGAAAGAACCAAAGAGTAATTCCTGCAGTCACGAAAGCTCAAAATCAAGGTTTAACATATAAATGTATAAAGTTTATGCAAAGAGTAAGAACAAATCCATCTCCTTGTTGGCGTGAATGGCACGCCATCGTGTTGTAAAGGATTGCAAACGAGGGGAGGTTTTAGTCAAGTGACTCCTAAAATCCGTGAGAAATATATAAATTGTTTTGGAGTTTTTTTTTTCCCTGAGTGAAATTTGTTTTGTGGACCGCAGGGAGGGGAAAAGGGGTGTCAGCGAATTTTAGGATTTTCCGATGAAAAGAGAGTGGATTAGTTAGCGTTTCTGTTTGTAAAACTTTACAGCCCCTTACCATTACACTGCTCGATGATGGCCCAGAGCCCAATTAAACAAAAAAAATCCTACACCGACTCAGAACCATCAGAATATATAGTACAACTAAATGTTGAAAAGTAAAGAATATATTTCCGTGCGAAACACCGATTTGCATCGGAAACATGAGAATGAAACTACTATTTTTGGGGAGTTTGTAATCATGCATTTGAAGAACTAAAGTGCACCCACGCATGAAGGCTGCAAATTTTATGAGGCCCTATGAAGGCCTCCCCATGCTGTGTCGGTCAAACCACCTGGTGGTGGTGGTGGCGGCTACGAACGTGCCCTGTAACCCAGCACTGTGGAGGCAGCGGCGAGGGTTCATGGGTCACGCAAATGTTTGGTCGATGAGGTTCCATCCCCTGGCTCGCCAGAAGGCAGTAGAGCAAAGTGCAGTCTAATCTGATCGTGTGGGCTTTCTCCGGGTGCTCCGGTTCTATCTCGCACGTATAACCACTCGTGTCCTTGTCTTAACAGGTCCCTGCGGGGTGGGCTGGTAGGAACGAACAAATGAATGGCTATAATAAAATGAAATGGTGGGGGTACGATACGAAGAGAGAGTTTGAGGCCTAGTTCTAGGCTTTAGGCCTAGCTGTAGGCTATAGGCCGCTGTGAGTTAATTTTGAATTTAAGTGTTTTAATTAAAAACTATCTCATGGAATTATAAGGGAATGTTACACTTATTTAGCCAGGAAAGCCTCACTGAGTCTAAAGGTTTTTGTAGGGTCCTGCCAAGTGTTTGCAGTAGGGGACGATGTTGCTACACCTAATCGGACATCGGACGGACGGACGATATAATCTATTGTAGGCTGGTTCACTTCGTTCCTACCAGTAAAACATCTGAATATATAGAGGAGAGCAGAGCTTGGGTGAATGTTGGTGGCAGCTCACTGCCTGGCTGCCTTCCAGCTTGGCTGCGGTTCCTTGGTGATTGTGAAATGCAATTTGCACGAACTACGCTATATATAAAACTAAACATACTTAGTCACGAAGGTCAATGGGATGTACTGTATACATGCAGTACACAAAACACATGTTTCAACAAGATGAGATGACGATGAGTATACTTACTCGTAGACCTGTGTGATGGTGATGTTACTGCCAATGTTGGTGATATAGCCAAGAAATGTTGCATTTTCAGGTTGATCAGGAACTTTCAATCCATCCAGGAGCTAAAGAATTGTTACCATGCGTCACGGTTAGTTACAAATACATTGTGACTGTTTAATATCGATTCAAGAACTTAAGATGTGAGACTGGCCACGGTTTATCTTTGAATGCTGTGAAAAACTCAACATCAGTAATACAGGTTTTTTGGGTTAGATCGTGTAAATATATAAATGTGTCGGTAAACCCGCCACCACCCGACACAGCCAATTAGTAAAGGGTTTGTCACGTAAACAGAACGTGCCAATTCGTCTCTAGTACAGCACACCGGTGTGTTGGAGAGCCAAGCCACAACATTTACAATCTGAGTACGACGTTTCACCGGTAATTACAACTAGCTTCATCAGGCGACAGCCAGACTTGTGGAGAAGTCCACCTGTTTCGTTCCTTAATTAGAGGCGTAAAACTCAACATGTGTGTCAATAAAACTGTGGCACTAGAAAGACTATGATATAATAGGTGACGTTTTGGGCAATATCCCTTCTTTAGAGCACATAGGAAGGGGAGCCAAAGAAGTAGATCGCGTATAAGTTGGAGACTGCACTTTACACGATGGGGTCTAATCAAGAGGCCTATTCGCTTCATTAGATTGTATGTAACACTATATGTAATATTAGCAGGTAAGGCCCACTGAGCTTTTTAGCTATTTTTTTTTAAAAAACCTGGCCGCATGTCATAGCTTAACGTGGAAATGTATTGCAGCCAAATATATTAAACGTACGTTGATTCTAAATGTAGAGGTAAAAAACAGAGAACCCATAGAAAAACCCATGCAAATTTGAAATTTATATATATCCATGGATGATATTGGTCGCAAAAGTCTAAGTGTTAAACTCGAAATATACAGGCGCTAGGGTCGAGATCGAACCCATAACCTCCTGCGCACCAGGCGAGGGAGTTCACATCTTGCCAGCATGGTGCCACCCCACCCCCATACTTGCATTGGGAGCATTAAGAATGAAGGAACATAACATCATTGGCAGTGTCCTCGTGGAATGTGTGACGGAAATAAATAAGCAGGTGATGTCTTCCCAGAAGGTGATGAAATGTGACGAGTATCATCTGCTTAGTTATGAGTTTAATTAAGAATTAGTATTAATTGTTTAACCGATTCATTGATCCACTCCTAGCACATATATATACCATGACAATAGCACATTTTTAAGATCAACTTTGAAAATATATTCTGAAGTAAGCTGTCTGCCACATAGGTTCGGTGTAACTGGTCATTGAAATCAATCTATACGAGAATGATTTAACAAATATAATGCATCTAAATTCTACCCCTGTTCTGGAATTCCACCCACAAGATGTCCATTATACAGCTCTGATTCACCCCGCACACGATCAGATAAATTGCCTCAATTTGAAATCAGAATTTATTTCGATCATCGATTTTTTTGTCTCCTTTCTACTATCTCGTTTGTTTTTCTAATATTTTTCTCTCATTTGCACATTTTCAGTCACCCCATAGCCTACATTCAGCATCGATATGCCATGTGCTTACATCGTAAATAAGCAATTATTGAAGCACACAATTGCATATGTTGCAGGCATATCAATGCAACATTGCTCGCCCAATGTGCTTATCAACTTTCTTATATGAACCACTTTCAAAGTGTAATTAAGAATTGGTTAAGGTCATTGTAAACCTCTAGGCACGGGCCTTAATTTGGATCTCCTCGCATGCCTTTGGCTCTTCTGTTTCCCACCCTCTGATTAACCTCACGGGTCACTGGACGATGCCCTTCAACTGGGGCACACAGCCATCAAATTATCAGTCGATCCCTCACAGCAGGCTTCTGATTTTTCTTCAGACAAAGATAACCCGTATAGTCCTAACAGACGTTAGGAGCAAGAGCTGTTAGCAAACACCAATGAAGGCCGGCAAGGCACACAAGGGGGTGGGTGGCCAGCACAACGCCCGGTCGCCTTTGTCTCCCTAGTGGTGATGTTTACTACACACCGCACCAGGTACTCATTTGAGGCTGAGTCGACCCAGGGGAGGCCCAAGACCGGTTCAGATATTCGTCACCAATGTTGGCCGTGAGGGGTTTGTAGCGCAGGGTGCTAAACCGCAACACTACCGCTCACCTTAGCTGAAAGGACATCGTCGATTAGAAGCACATACACAGACACACGCAAGCACTTGTCGCTGACTTACGTGAAACAGGGACTGGTCCGCTAGCGGTTTGCACCCCAGCGTGTGGATATTCCCACCGATAAAGAAGAGTATGGCCACGATGAACATGAATATCCAGGAGAATATAAATACGAAGCCAACACCACTGCAGGGGGAAGACGCAGCATACACAATATATCATTCAAGTATACAGGCATTTGCAGTCGATGCAACGTGTGAACAGAAAAGGAATATCTTCTTGGTTCTTTCGGTAAAGTCATGTAGAAAAAAAAATTATGTTTTATTTTCATTAATAATAAAGTAATAAAAATAAAACATTATTGTATTATGTTTTATTCACGTAGAAGGGAATGTTTTCTTTTATCAATAATAAAAATAAAACATCATTTAATTATGTTTTATTTTTATTATGTTATAATTTCCCTTCTACGTGACTTTACCGACAGAACCAAGAAGATGAATCCCTGCAGTCACGAAAGCTTTAAATCGAAAAAGAAAAGGAATAATTGATATTTGGATTGGACCTCGTAAGTAATATGCACGTCGTAAGCCCTCCTCCACCCAACACGGCCGATCTATGAAACTGTCGCGTGAACAAACTTGGCCAATTTACAACACAAGCAATCATCATCAGGTGTGAAAACCACAGCAAGAAAATTTAAAAAAAGTGGCGGTTTTTTCTGAACGTCAGCACCACGGACAGCAACTATCGGTTGTTCAGACGGACGAGTCCATCTATGCTCGGAACAGAGGAGGGGGGAGAGAAGGAGAATGGAGCTTTAAGTTGCTGCAGAAATTAAGCAAGTGCCCTGTCAATGGAAAACATGAAAACCTGCCCACTGATATTTGCTGTGGGAGCCACTTAATTTCTCCACTTAGCATCTCAGGAAGCCATCAATCAAGACCGCGAGGTTTTAGCCCCAGAACGCGCACAGGGACTCACGCCATGAGGAAGATTCCACCACAGTTGGAGCAGCAGCCTCGGTTGGCGGGGGACTTCCTCTTGCTGTAGCCGCAGGTGCCCAGGCAGAGACCAATCGTGAAGAACAGCACGATGATGGCCAACAACAGCACCACACCGAGTATGGCGAGGAATCTGGCGAGGGAAGAAGCCGCGGCAGACGAGGTTACGGCAGCAAGCAAGGCGCAGGCTCACGCCGCTCTTCTTCTTGTTGTCGTACGGCTGCTGATGTAGACGCAGAGCAACAACAGCAACTTCGCGGTCGGGTGGTCAAACCCGAGATAGCCGCGTCAGGAGCAGCGCAGTGGAAGATGGCAGCAGCGGTCACGTGGCCCCACTCCGTTAAGCGAGAAATCACGACGAATGCCATCGACTCGGCGACCGAACGTCGATCGCGATCTGTCGGTCTCCAGAGCGGCAATGACAAAAGCTCGCGCGCTGTAAGACGGGGGTAGCACTGCAATGGTTAACTCTAGATTTAAAGTTTTCGTGACTGCAAAGAGCCATACTCTTTGGTTCTTTCGGTAAAGTCACGTAGGTAAAGAAAAAATAAAAGAAAAATACAGCCCCGCCAACTCCCCCCTCCCACCCTGCCCAGTATAAACCCCTTGACTGGCTTCTCTCCCACTTCAATAACATTTATTGCTGTGGTTGTCACACCTGATGATGATTGCCTGTGTTGCAATCGAAAGGTCGTGATTTAATTTATTTATTTTTACTTTTTTTTTCATTTTTTCTTTAGCTACGTGACTTTACCGAAAGAAACAAAGAGTAATCATTCACTCACCGCCACTTAGAGTAGCGTTCATTGTGCTCCTGTCAAAGTATTTTTTTTAATTATCAAAACTGTAATTTAGAAATAAATTAAGTCGAGGACTGTATTCAACGTGATGGGGTTTTTTTGTGTGTACAGTCATTGGTGTCTCGGCTGAAACCCAGTTTAAAATCAATGGTTAGTTGAAAAACCTTAATTCAAACCCAGGATCTCCCGGAGTGGCAGCTGAGTGCTCTGACCACCAAGTGAACCTGGACAGCACAACCCTGCACCGAACTTCAAAGAAAATCTGGAAAACACTTGAGGGCTTCACTGCTAATTTCCTTATGTGGCCAATGAAATTGAATCACGTGAAAAGCCACTCATCCGAAAAGGTTATCCTACATTTCACTTTTATCGGCCATATAAATAAATGAACTCGGCGACTGAGATGACGTGAAATTAAAAAAAAAAGTTTTCATCGTTCAAATATAATTCCTCGTATTCATTTTCAGGAGAAGTTTCCCGAGACAAGATTTGTGTGATTTTTTTGTTTCATTACACGGCAAACGTTATATGTGCGGGGGACACGTTCATGGAGAACGTCGTGAATATGAAATCCGCAGATATTATCACTCGAAGCTTGTGAGAAAAATAGGGTTAGAGCGCATGAACACATTACGTTTAAACATAAATATATTAACTTTATGTATATATTAATTAATACATATATTGTATAGTATTTTTTAATTCGGAATCCACTGGAGCTATGCACTTTTAAATCATCTACATTTAAAACTAATTTCTTCAGAACTGATTTTTGTGTTTAGTTTGTTGTCCTTCCCCCCCATATCCGATTAGTACATTTGGCTGTGTATGGTGCGAAAGAAGTTCAACATATATCCATCCATAGATAACCGTATTATTAAAACCTACCTTTAACAATGATGAACAATAAACATATTTAAAATTGCAAATATCAATGAATGCATGAATAAATCAACATTGTACAGTACGCAATTCCAAAGCATTGTAAATGAAAGAGTGTAGCAGACAGAGGCCTATTGAGAGGTACAGTGGGTGGGTAAAGTGAAAAACGTTCGCTCCCTCACAATCCATGCCGCTACCAATGCCTCACCGCTTCTTTGTCAGGGGTAGTCGCACAGCGCACGCTAGTTCCAAATTCGTAGCATTTACGATGAACGCATCACTAAATACGCAAAACCGCGATGAAAAAAACCGCGAATTTTAAGGGTTTGCTGCGTTGCGTGATAAGATGCAGGCAATAAGAAGTCACATGTTGGCCAAACCGCATGAGACACGCGCACGCCATTTCAACCTCGACAGTGATACACACCATTGAAACCTCCTTTGCCAGTAGCAAAATATTATAATTGTTTTTTTACCCTTTTATCTGGCGACAAACCTGACACCTTTTTTTACAAGGAGTCATGTTTGCATTGATCACAATACCTGCGGTCGGAATGCAAACAAAAAACACAACTCTGATAATGTATGCACTGTCCATGAAATTGATTGGTCCACACCCGAGACAGCTTTTCTTAGAGCCTAGTCTCACATGGTGTTGGACCACATGACGCCAAAAGGCGCAGTGATACACACTTTATCGAGGAAGTGACGGAAAGCACTCACCGAAGTTTGTCAAAGAAGATGGCCTCATCCTGGATATTAGTCAGTGTGTTGGAAAATTCCTCAGTTTGCGTTTTGATTTGGTCCAGGTATTGGGATAAATCTAATTGGCTCGAAAAGTTTTGGATTTCATTCCCAACACTTGTCAGCGTATTCAAGACCCCTGCGAGAGGAAATAAACAGTTGTTATTGGCCTTAAAAAATATTATTATTAAATGAGATTCACATTCTATTTTAAACCTTGCACCTAAATAACAAGATCAACACCTCCCTCATGCTTCAACTGTGTGTTATTACAGTGTACTGTTATTGAAGTGTATTGTTCAACGTAAAATCAGTTGTTGTATATTAATGTACTTTTTACGCCGTTTTACGGGGTCTCGTTTGGTGGTGATTTTGTGTTGTTTGTCTTTATATTCCTGGTCCTTTCGGTAAAGTCACGTAGAAGGGAAATAATAAAATAATAAAAATATAAAACAATAAAATTCTCACGACGTTTCGACTGCAACACAAGCAATCATTTTCAGGTGTAAAAGCCACTTTTTCAAATTTTCTTGCTGTGGATTTCACACCTAATGATAATTGCTTGTGTTGCAGTCGAAACGTCGTGAGAATTTTTTTTAATGTTTTTATTTCCCTTCTACGTGACTTTACCGAAAGAACCAAGAATATGAATCCCTACATTCACGAAAGCTTTAAATCGAAATTTAGTTTGTCTTTGTAACGTTCTGACCTGCCCCCCCCCCCTACTGGATATCTTTAAAAAAAGAGCTTCATAGCCCATTGAATTCATGATGCAGTATAGATACATATTCTGAAAAGAAACAAATATTCTGAATCTGGCAGCACTAGCCACGAGCAAACTAAACATACGCATAGGGCCCCAAGCAGCTCAAGGGTCCCTGGATTCATCGAAAATATCGCATGGACCATGGTCACATGACAGGGAAAATGAAGAACAATTTACATATTCACGTGTTTGTATTTCCCATTTGGAGCTCTCTTACGGCAGTGCACCATTCCAGCACTCACGACGCAGTTACCCGGCTCAGCCACCTGAGTGTAAAACTACAGTTGTTGCTCGAACTAAACATTATCCATACGCAGAAGAAGGAATGGTCTCTGGTGGGCGATGTCACCGAAATAAATTCTGAAGCCTGTTCAACCCCCTCTGATTCACACTCACCAGGGGCACCGTGCTTTGCTACTTGCCAGCCGTAAAGCTATTCATTGCATGGCATTCAAATCATATTTTGGAATTTTCAAAAATGAAAACATTGGTGACCAACCGCCAAGACCATGAACTCGCCACGCCATGTGTGGTCGGCTCGATGCTCTGACATCTCTGAGTCAGCCAGCCACCTCTAGTTCCTTTGCATTAATAATCTCACTTGCAAAATCTACGGCCACCGTAACATGCACTATACAGCACCAATCAAGCGACTGGACGTGACTTTAGCACGAGCAGTGGCAGTGGTGAGCGCACTGGCCACTTAAATATGATTGATTTCTCAACCACAGCTAACACCAATAGAGTTTTGGTTTTTCCAGGTAAGGCTCACTGAGCTGTATGGCTTTTTTTTTCAGAAGCGACCTGGCCACAAATGATAGCTCGACGAAGGGGCTCATCGCGTGGAAATGTATAGCAGCCAAATACTCTAAACGCATGTTTCTAAATGTGGAGGGAAAAACCGGAGGGCCCGGAGAAAAATCAACGAGACCACGGGGAGAAAGAGACATGTAAACTCCAATATACAGCAGGCATCAGGGTCGATTTCGAACCTATTGAACTGGTTCAGCCCCCCCCCCCAACTACCCCATCCCCTCCCCAACCCAGCCCACTTCACCAACCGATACTAATCAGAATTGTGCGGTAGGGTTCTCCATGCTCACCCTTGAAGTTCTAAAACTACTTGCAAACCACAGCATTTACGTGTCGCTCCTGTTACCTGTTTTGATGCCGCTAGCTGCCGCATCGACGAGCTGCGTGATGTTCTTGATGGTTTCATTACCCTAGGGCAAGCGACAACGGTATAGCAACCTGTGATCCACTGCCTCAAGAATAAAAACCACGGTTTTCACTTCATCTCACCGCCTTCCGTGCAACGAACCTGGTCATCAGCACACCTGCCACATTCACTGCAACAATCGCAAAGAACCAGGAGTGAACCTCCAACGAGGATTTTGAACTCGCAACCTTCGAATTGCAAGCATCTTTCTTCTGCTGAGCCACCTGGCCGACACAATGAGCACCGAATGTGGAATTTCCACGGCTGGCTCAGGGCTGTTAAATTGGAGGTGTCCACTGCCTCAATGCTCATTTGAGTAAGAAATCACCTTTGACTTACCGGTTCTTTTTAAAATCCTTTATATTAAGTTCGCTTGCTTGCTTAGGACCGTACAGATCTTTCGGTCGTTTTTTAACCCACTTCCCGTGATCCAATCGAGCTGACATTTTCCACACAGACTCGTTGTGCGTGACAATTAATGTTCGTAAAAAAATCCAAAATGTTACACTTTTTAGGACAAAAATATTATATTTAATTACCAATTGCTTAATGGTGCAATGCAATCATCTGACCCATAGGTGACAGCCATCTCAAGCCAGAGGACGAGAGGACTCTAGCCGCCACGCATATAAAGGATTTATAGTGAAAAACTTTGTTTTTACGGGTTATACTTATTGCTTATCACAAAGTATGTTAACGACAAAAATGTGTGAATGGATAGGGCAAGTGAGCAACCCTGCCTGTTGTAAACCGCGGCGAGTTATTTCTACAGATTCGCACAGCGCTCGTTTAAGAGGCACTGATAAGACGTTGAAGGACACATTTTACTTTTTACAACTTGATAGGAAATGATTTCGTGGTCATTACGCCGGCCTTCATAGTAGGGAGTATACGTAGCGGGTGCGTCCTGTGCTCAAACGATCAGCCACCAGCCAATAACGGACGCACACACACACGCACACATCTGTGACTTAGCACCTTGACAGGCAAAGCGTTTGTACCTCGGCCACTTCTTATGCCCCCCAACCCCCGTCCATTGTCATTGATTTAAAATTCTTGGAAATTTTATTAAAACATTGCTATTGAAGCGGTAATTATAATTAATCAACATGGGAGCTTTCAACATCGGGACCGTATTGTTAAATCACGTGGACTTTTGAATCTCCCAATCCCAATGGGCTGCGAGATGGCAAAAGCGATGACAGTACAGCAAGTGAATTGAATCCATCTGTGATTCCATGAAGACTTAAGTGTAATCCTGTCCCAAACACACTGAGTTCACTCCGGGTTCTCCGGTTTCTTCCCACGTGAACCCAAATTTGTATTCGTGGAATTGAACAAACGTCCCATTCTACCAGGACCATGCAGACTAAAAAGTCGTAAGGACTCGGCGAGGATTTTCTGGAAATTCAGTGAACGTTATTACTAGAATCAGGTGGTTATTCAAAATGTGGACATCCAGAATTCAAAATGTGGACACCCAGAACACCTCATTCAAGACCCAAACATCGCACCTCCTGGCTTGGACATCAAGACGCCGATCTCCTTCATGAATGTAAAATTAAAGAGACAAGCCACAGTAGTGCGAGTGTGGTCATGCAATCAAACCCATGGACCATATAGTAAACCACTGTAATCTGTGCTCCTTCAAACAAAGGAATAGCAAAACTCTACCAACTCTCTCCCGAAGAGCTCTCAAGACTAGCAGACCTCGACATGTAAATCAGGCTCCTGAACTTATTCGAATTTAACCACTTGTTCTTACCTTTACAAGCTGATCTTTTAGATCACCTTCAGATATCGATCGTAGATCTATAATGACTTGTTCAACAGTGCCAGACAACTGCAAAAAACACAAAAATATATAATATTGGCTGCAAACCTAATTAAAAATTTGGACAAATTAAACGTGATGCATTCAAAACACATTGATAGGGCATGATTAAATGCCATAAAACACATGTTAACATCATTAGAAAATCCCATGATAAATAGGAAGGTTAAATTAGTATGCGTGGAAAGATGCAGAGATTCACGATATATCATGTTTTGGGCAATCCGTTGATCAATTTTGGACAGTTTTCTACAGGGTAAGTCCACTATAGTACCACAACTTTATACTAAATTTGTATTTCTATTGGGTCATCTTCATGAGCGCTGTCGTGATCCCCCCCCGCCCCTCCACCCCTCCCCCGTTACACACAGACGGACGGACAGAGCGAATGCGTGAATGCTTTCAACCTTGGTTAGAAATTGTTAAAAATGGGAAACAACACAAATTAGATGAGAAACTAGAGAAAAACGTGGGACCCTTTTAGTCAGTTTAAAAATGATTAAAAACAGAATACGTTATACCTTGCAATAAGTGTCTATTTTTCTCGCAATGTGGGTCTGTTTGAACATCTTAACTTGTAGTATTGCAGTAAATGGTAAATAAAGTCTATTCTCTTTTATTCATCCAAGAGGTAAATTATTTGTGTCTTGAATTAGATTTTGACCCCAAATAAAATTTGCCAAATGTAACAAAAAAATTATGATACAGGACCCTCCTGGAAAATAATGATATTTTCCTATCTGAATAAGCGTAATAATAATAATAACCATGATGAATGACAATTTACTGAATCACTGAGGGAGTAAGTTGTGCTTGTAATGTAGTCATGTCCCTCACGTTAACACAGTAGTTTACTGACTTTGTAATATATTTAGAGTGCTGCAAAATTGAAGGATTAAATAAAACACTCGATCAAACAAACAGTTTTTTTTATTCACGGAGTAATTGCATCTCATAACAAAAACAATATTGTTAAAATCTCTTACCGGGGTGAAGTCGGCAGCAAGAGAAATATTATTTGACTCATCCAAGAGCCATCGGCATTCAGCGGAACTACATGGAGTTAAATGTGTTGTCAAGTTGCTTCTAATCTCATCTAACGTTGTGTTTGTATCGATAGCCCACAGATTTAGCGTGGACATTGACGAATTCACGGTGTTCAGATTTTCTTTGGTCCTCTTAATAACTGAAGTGAGAAGCAAACAAACCATGACCAATGTTTGAGTAAACACAACCAACGGCAATGTTAGAGTACAACGGATTTCAGTGCGGCTTTAATGAAAGCACAATTGTTAATAATCAACTGACAAAAGTGGCCGTTTTCTCACCACCAACTTTGACCTCGGCACTAAGTGTACGTGAAATTTGCATAGATTACTCGGGTGAGTCAGCGCCGTCCGTAGTTCACTTCCCCCTTCTCTGCTGCCACCCGCAGTGACTAAACGTCACCTTACAGCCGTTTTTGTCAATCCACTGTTGGATGAAGTCCACCCCACGCCATTGTCGATTCGTGAGATCGTTTGACCACGGAGAAGGGGGGGGGGATGCCTCAGTTAACGGATGCTGGCATCGACGTTTTTAAAGCGTTTCGCATGAGGTTGAAAGTAATTTATCACCTTAGGCTGAGCCTTCTCCTGCAGGTCTACACTATTCCACACTGAAAACACGCATTTATGTCAGTTTAACACGTAGGCTTTCGCGACCAATGTTATTCATAATCAACGTTTTTGGGTTTAGATCGCGTTATCTATAAATGTGTCGTAACCCTCCACCACCCGACACGGCCAATCAGTAAAAAAGTGTCACGTTGACAAATAGTTCACTGCTTTAGCCCACCGATGCTGAATGCAATTACCAGCGAAACGTCGTAATAAAATTGTAAATGTTGTGGCTTCAACACACCGGTGGGCTAAAGCAGTGAACTATTTGTCTTTTGTCAACGTGACACTTTTTTACTGATTGGCCGTGTCGGGTGGTGGAGGGTTACGACAAATTTATAAATAACGCGATCTAAACCCAAAAACGTTGATTATGAACGCATTTATGTCTCTGCTGAATCATTCTGGTTTGCATGTTCAGCAGGCAACAAAATGTGGTAAAGGTGCAGCCCTGCAAGTGCTTACTCACTGGCTGCCGATCGACTAAGGGGCCGTCCATAAATGACGTCACGCGATTTTGGACGATTTTTGACCCCCCCCCCCCTCCCCTCGTCGTCACACGGTGTCACAAAAAGTCAGACCCCCCCTCAAATATGACGTCACAAAGCTCTGCCCCCCACCCCCCCCCCAAAAAAAATGCTTCAAATCTTTTAAACTATTGTCATTGTAGTGCGTATTTAATGTGGCGCTGCACTCTGATGTTGTAGGAGAAAACATTTATTAAAAAGTCTATTTAATTAAGTAGAACGTGTTGTATATATTTATTTAAAGTTGCGAATTTTGATGTGACGCCACATTTCTCAACCCCCCCCCCCCCTCGTCACACATCGTCACAAATGTCTGACCCCCCCCCCCCCCCCCGCTAGGTGCGTGACGTCATTTATGGACGGCCCCTAACTGCGGTGAACCCATTGACTCTGCTGGGTGGACAGAGGCGGGGGCGGATTAAGGAACTTTCTGCGATGTTTCAACTGCCGTACCGGGGGGGGGCGGGGGGGGGGAGTGAAATCGAACCGGCGACCTTTAGATTCCAGGTCCAGTGTGCAAATTATTCCATCACGGTGGTCCACCATGAATACATACGTTCATATATCTATCAACATACATGCATCTCGTGTAGCTTAGCATTGTGTATTACCATCCACTAATTCCATACCGCAATGGATGCATAATAATAAATGAATAGCGTCGCTGAGCATTGCATCTTACCATCAACGAGGTTGAGCGCGGCACTTTGTGGCCCGGCGACTTCTCCCAAAAAGTTTTTCTGAATGTTTCCTCCGACAATACTGCCAATATCTGAGGTGGGAAAGATGCGTACGCTGGGATTAGCTGCAGATGTACGATGAAATCGATTTTTTCTGTGTGTTTTTTTTTTGAACAGAGCACCCTTTGCACCGGAACATCTCAGAACATTTCACACGCAACAAGCAACTCGTATCACATCCCATCTCAACACATTTTAAAAAGGACAACCCCCCCCCCCCCCCTCGTGGTTGCTGTATCTGTGGGCACAAGGCGATCTCAGCAGCTGCACTCCCGTCGGGAATTAGTCTGTCATGATTGTCACGTGTTATTCAAATTGATGTAATTTTGGGGGTGAATGAGATTTCTTTTTTTTTTACAAGGTTGGACCATGACGTCGGCACACAAGGGCCTACTCGTTTTGAATTGTGGAGATTTGAACGCCCACTGGGAAGCAGACTGGCGCGTAGTATTTTATGGTTGATTTCGCCCGCAGTGTTAACCGGGCTGGCCTTGCCGGATTTGAACCGCGAGCCTCGGCAACAGGCGTCAAAAGGGCACCGCCGCTGGGTCACGTTACCGCCACAACGTTTGTTGGGAGGTTCAAACGTAGGTAGAAAAATAAACGAACAAATGTTGTCATCTAATGAGACATCGTTAATACAAAATAGCGTGACCTAATTGGGCAGTTGTAGTTTTCTCGTGGGAAATGTTGTTAAGCTACATCTGGTGGTAAGTCAAGGTCAAGTCAGAGTTATTTCCTGCTCAAATGAGCATCGAGACGGTGGTCATCTCCTGTTCACAACTCTGAGCCGGGAGGTGGAAATTCCATGTTGCTATGGCGTGGGCGAGTCTTTAACCATCGGGAGGCAACCGCTGTTGTCTTCTCCACAAAGCGCTGCTCGTATTAACCAGCCGATCACCCCAATCAGGAATGAGACTCGCAACCTTCCAATTGCGAGCGGCTTGCTCTGCCACTGAGCCACCTGGTGTGCGGTGACGCTGTAACCTGAACGAGACTGTTGAGGATGCTGAAGCAGTGGCGGCTCCTGCAAAATCTCTCAGGGGGGGCAAATGTCTGGATGATTGATAAGGATAAGGTCCACCCATGCAATGGATAAATTAACAGCTTAAGCATGTAAAGGCAACTTCACTTCTTTAATATTAATGAAAAATAAAGTGACTCTTACAATACATCTTGTTTGTTTCTATACTCACTATTATTACAATCCACTCAGTTTCTTTTATTAAAGATTCCACTAGGTGGCGACAAATAACATTGTTGACTGAAACGTGCTTACGTATGATGATGTAAGAACGTTAGTGCGAGCCCTCCCGGAAGCCATAGAGAATGCATTGGCGCGCCCGCCGTTCGAAAAAAAACCATCTTTTAATGTAAGTCTATGGGAACACTCTGGGCGATTCTCAGCCAGAGTGAAATCGCCCAAAAAGAGGCGGTACTCCACAGAACGTGACATGACGCTGATTGGACTATATCCAGAGGCACAGTAACGGCTAGCGTGACTCTGTGGTTCAATGACATTGGTGGTGCGTCGCCCAATCGCCCTAATGAAGAAACCGCCCCTGTGCTGAAGCGAAGCCAGACGGAGAGACGTTGATCCGTGGACCAGGGCCCCCAAGCTAAGGGACTCAAGGTTAGCACCTCCGGTCAGCACGGTTGGCTACGTACGGTGCAAAAGGAGTTGAAGATACATACAAGAAGAGGCCTAATTGACTGATTTGCATACAACTTCAGTCAAAACTAATTTCAGAAGTAGGTTTACATAAAAAAATGTTTTGAACATGTATGAACATCCACAACCATTTATGTCAGCACTAAGCACGTGAGAGGGACACATTGCACGCGACGTGTGTATGTATATGTATGTTCAACTTCTTTTGCACCATACATAACCAACTGTGCTAATCGGAGGTGCCAGAGAAGGACAACAAACATCACTTACTCTGTACTTTGTTGGTCGCGATGTCTTTGACTGGCCCATACTGGGCAACAACTTCGTCCAATTGCTGCACAGGATGCAATTAAAGAGTAAGTTAAAAGCGAATCCAGACGAACGAAGGCAAGTGGGGCTTGGGCAGAAGTCCAACGACCGAGACTGATGATGGAGTGGCAGCCAAAGGCGGGAAACTCGCCCAAGGGGACATCCGCCAGAGGCATGGAGGGATTAAATCAGCTCGCGCGCAGTAAGTTTCAAACAAGATGCAAAAATGTGCAAAAGATGCACAGCTATTTGTGCACGTGCATAAAAAAAACCCTCAGCATTTCCTAAAGAAGTGCATTGTGGGTCGTGTGCAATATCTGAATGGATCGATGCATCGCAAGACCTGTGAGAGGTGGCAACAGCTCGGAATAGATCATGGATGATGATTATGTAAGTGCAAGGGAGTATGCAATAATTATTATATGGCTAAGCAGTAGCATATGGCAGACGTTATAAATCCTGTATGTGAGCACCCAAGGGATATTCAGATGTTGGAATGAAGCCCTGGGTTTGAATTACCCGTAGGTCTCAGTATCATCTCAGTGTATGATTGTCTTTCAGTTGAGAGTCAATTTCCACTACAAATCTATACTTTTAACAGAAACCGGTTGCTATAAAGGCACACAGAAAACAGGAGCAGGAACAACAGCCAACAAAAATATATAAACCCATAAGATAAAACATAAAAATAAATGCAAAATACCACCAGCCTGTAAAAAATTCACGACGGGAAAACATTAACGCACGTCAGTAAAACAAGGCGGAGGCGAGATGAAGGCAGCGAACCAAAGTATTTGCATTCAGACTGTGCAAGCAGTGAACCCAATTTATGGTAGGAAACTACTCGGAAGGCATGTCGTCAATTGTAAAAGAGAGGGCACGCATTGGTCCCACATTTGTAGAGTGTCGCGGATGGAGGAAACCAGTGACGGACTGGGACTAGCAATGGGCCCAGGCAATTGTTAAACGCAACAGCGGGGCACAAATTGCCGTGCCGATCTCATTGACCCACTCGGTGCCGGGTCCAAATAAAAAACAAATGGTGCCGTCGAGGAATAAACTTTGGGGCTGCCCGAATACGGCAACTTAATGTCAACCGAGAGCGTAAATAAGCAATGAAGCGGAAACATTAGAGGTAATAGAATATTTTAATTAAAAACAACTTTTTTTTGTTACTCTGAACACATTTGCAATTTCACCACAGAGACCGGCCCCTCACCGGCTCTCTGACTGGACCTGCCCCACGGGGCATTTGCCCCACGGGGCATTTGCCCCATGGACTGCTGCCCCTATGGCCACTCTGGGCCTGGAGGGGAAATTCTAATCCCTTGGCCACGCAACTTTAAAATGTTGCCCGCATCTTTTAAATGCCGCTGCCAACTTTTACAATGTCTCAAAAGCCACTCCGCTGTTGATCTTCCCTGTGAAATATTTGTTTGCCGCGATTTGACGATACTACGATATATATCGCAAGATATGAAGATATGCGATAATCGCATCATCCGTAATGTACAAAATTGCACTGCACAGTTTTGAGAGACCTGGATCTGGCTGAGAAATATACCCGGATTGATCCGTGCACTTATGCTGACTGCAGCCTAGCACTTGTTGATTTCATCATTCGATACAATCATCCGTACAAAGCGTACCTTCACTGTGTTTTCCGCGAAGGTGTTTATGTCAGCCAGGTTATTCTTCACAATTGTTCTGACTTCACTGCCAGCAAAGCTTTTCCCACTTTCGTAGTGCGTGTATATGTTGGCTTGGAACATGCACACGAGACCCCCGCTAGGAACAACACCACAACGTTGCAAAGAGACAACATTAACAGCGCGTTCGCAACATTCAGACGATGCTGCTATGTTGTGTTGGTGAGTACAGGGGACTTGTAACCTGTGAGGTTGCCGGTTACATTAATCAACGGTTCTATCATTCCATTTTGTCATCGATTGTTTTGTCAGCTATGTCAAACGCCTTGAGTGAAGGCGTTCTATTTAAGTATTAATTATAGTACGTAAGTTAAGACGTTAAATTGCACTATCATCATTATTTCTGGATGCTGACCACATTAACGCTGGTGGACAGGCAGACAAGCAGGCAGGTAGAAGGATCCGTGAAACAGCGATCGGACTCAGAATATTTGGACTGGAAGAATCCGATGATCTGTGAAGCTCTTTTTCACAGATGTCCAGTGTGGGGCAAAAGGTCAGAGAATAAAAACAGCAAACAATACAACAAACACAACAGGAGTGCAAAGTATAGGAAAGCTAAGCAAGTCACTAAATAAAAATTAAATATGCAAGTACAACTTGCATAAGTACATAAATTCCTGATGATTTTTCAACACCAAATGAATGTTTTTTTGTATTTTCGCCAGGTAAGGCCCATTGAGCTATATAGCTCAACGACGTGGCATATCACGTGCTATTCTTATAGCAACCAAACACTCTAATAAACGCATGTCGATTCTAAATGTGGAAGGAAAAACCCAGAGATAAATCCACGCGACTCTGGGGAGAATTAGAGATCACATGCGAACTCCAAATATACAGGCGTCAGAGTCGGGATTGAACCCGCGACCTCGGCAAGGTATTCATCTTCTTGGTTCTTTCGGTAAAGTCACGTAGAAGGGAAGTAATAAAATAATATTAACATTTTTTATATTGATATTACTTAATTATTTCCCTTCTACGTGACTTTATATTGTTTTATATTAATATTGTTTTATTATTTCCCTTCTACGTGACTTGCAGTCACGAAAGCTTTAAATAAAGACTCGACAAGGTAGTTAACATTTCGTCACAGTGGCAGCCCTGGGAAAGGCAGCAAGGCAAAAAAACAATCCCAGACCACACCAGACAACATACGCGGTGGGGTAACCGTCGACGTTTCTAATCCAATTTGCTCACGTGGTGAGGAGGCAGCAGAGGAGGAGGGTGACCGAGTAGGAGATGCGACGACAGTTGCTGCGTGCCTCGGCGTCGCTCTGGTACCTGCGGCCGCCACACTTGCCGCAGCAGCGGCAGCAGCAGAAGAAGAAAGCCACGAAGGGCAAGAGGAGGAAGTACAGCAGCCCGATGGCCAAGCAGATGAGGAAGCCCATCTCGTACACAGCCAGCTGTTTGTGAAAGGGGGCAACACCGCACGCAAAGATAAAGATCCCCCCGTATAGCGCTGACAGACTGTTGGGGCAAGCACTGTGAGCGAGCAGCACCTATGAAGGTTGGCACGGCGCACGAGGGGGTGTGTGATCAGCACCCACGTTCAGCCGTCTTTGTCTCCCCAGTAGCGATGTGCACACACTGCAAACAGCGACCCAGGTTCGGGTTTTTGTGTGTCGTATGAAATACGCTGAAACGGATATACCAGCATTTTGTTGGTTGGTGCAAACCACAGCCATACGGTAAATACAATCACATTTATAAACAGAGCTGGACTCTCTCTCCCTTTGCAAAAATCTGTTTTAGTCCATGAGCCTATTGACTTTTTCAGGCCAACTATTATCAATACTCTATTACCAAGCAGTATTTGTTTGAGCAGGAAAACTATAGACCGGGTTTGAACATCTGCATCTCATCAGCAAATCCAGACTTGTGAAACAAATGGTGCTGCATGACCAGATGGTTTTGCTACCTCTTTGTTTTGTAAAGCTGGAGATTTTGGTTTTGATATTGAACAGCGTCCCATATTGTACATGGAGTGCTCTAGCCAATGCCATCGGTCCAGTAAACATGCAACGTTGAACCAACGTAGGGCATCTGCTTGGTCTATTTTTCCATGTTTACTGGGGGTGGTGTTCGAGCAGCATTTGTTTAACAAGCTTGACTCGGCCGATGATACTCAAGGGCTATGTATCAAAGTATGTTGAACTTCGTTCCCACCGTACGTAGCCAACCGTGCAAATCAGAGGTTCGAAACGCACGTGTGTGCAATATTATTGAACAGATATCTCAACAAGTTACATTTCGATTTAAAGCTTTCGTGACTGCAGGGATTCATCTTCTTGCTATTGAACAGATATCTCAACAAGTTAAATTTCGATTTAAAGCTTTCGTGACTGCAGGGATTCATCTTCTTGCTTCTTTCGGTAAAGTCACGTAGAAGGGAAATAATAAAATAATACAAATAAAACATAATAAAATAATTCTCACGACGTTTCGTCCACAACGCAAGCAGCCGTCCTCAGGTGAAGAACAGGTCTGCGTTGTGGCCGAAACGTCGTGAGAATTATTTTATTATGTTTTGTTTTTATTATTTTATTATTTTCCTTCTACTTGACTTTACCGAAAGAACCAAGAAGATGAATCTCAACAAGTGTTCAGCTCTCATCCGAATTACAGGAGTCTCCACTGGAGTGTGTACTTGTACATTGCTCACGTGCATGCAGTAGAGGGCAATATTGCCATGTTGTGAAAGTACTTGGGATAGCATCTTGGACACTGGACAATGAGATGTAACACGGGGCATGTAAGGTGCACGGCTCTCCCGATGTGTTTTCGGGTTCTACCATGTGCTGCTCGGCACGATGTCCGACGTTTGGCTTCCTCATCCTGGGAACTTATTTTTAAACTGAATCCAATTCAATATGTATATGCCGGGAGCTGCTTCAAGAACAGTTCCTGAAGAGACTCCCAGAACACGGAGTGAAACGTCAGATATCGTGCTGAAAACAGCAACCCCGAAAATGCGTCAGAGATCCGTACGGTCACAACCGCGAATAAATACGCGGTAGCTCGTGATGAAATTTTCTGTTCGAATACTCTAATGGCTTTTTTTGTTGTAATTTGGATACATTACCAGACAGAAGACCAATTATGGACTCATGTCTGTTGAACTGAAGTGCACCCTATGCTGAGTTTGCATCATACATGGCGCTCGGGTAATTCTGTTTCAGCCACAATGATCGAGCATCAGACTTCAATTGCTGGGCTTAAAAGCCAAAGTGTGGCCACAATCCCAATTAATAAGAACTATTGCTTTGAATAATATATGCTCGGTAACTCCTGTATATATCTTAACAACCAGTTTTTTTTTCTACGTTAAGGCTGAGGTTGTAACAATTCACTGCCCCCGTTGATTCAATAAAATAGCAAGATTCAGGCTGGCTCGTGATTGGATTCCGGAATAAATTGTGAGGTTATTTTTTCTCACTTTGGTGTGAATGGAGCGTCTCTCGTGGCTTGCAGCGAGGTTCGTGTGATCCAGTGACATACAGCGGAACGTGAATCATAAAGACATGATTTCCTACACACTCCATTCGATGAATGTACCTTGAACTCAACAATTAATATTAATCAATGAATCGATACATCATATTACCCAGCCTCATTTTCGAACAGATATTTTGTATTATTATTAAAAATGCGTTTTTGGGAGAGACCTTGCTGTGTACGTGGCTGTAATTTACCTTCGTGGCATTATTTGTTAAAACAGATAGAAGGTCTTCTCCATTGACGAATTCTTGAATTATATCTGGAAATATAGACACACATACGGACACGTTAACAGCATAGGCTCACAGAATGATAAATGCGTTCACAAGACACATACAGACAATAATATCTCCCCTTAAACGTTCTGTAACTCAAGAGTGCCAGTCGGCATTCACATATCAAGCGTTGATTTTATAATTGTCCAAGTTCCACTCCCCACTGATGATCTTAAGCAATACATTTATACTGGTAGGAACCACCTGGTTCCACCAGCCCACAGGGGATTCTTGTGTCCATCCGTCGTGCATCAAAAAATGGAAGGGGTGGGGCTGGATGGAGAGGGGAGGGTGGGGAGGGGCTGGGTTGGGAGGGGAGGGTGGGGAGGGGCTGGGTGGGGAGGGTGGGACTGGGTGGGGGGTGGAAGGGAGGGGTGGGGCTGGGTGGGGAGGGGCTGGCCACTCCGTGGTGCCCTTATAAAACTCAACGTTTAACCTACTCACGCCGGCTTGTGCCCGCCCTCACAGTCGGACATATTTGCGGAATACACCACGCCGCCGTTGACCCTGGCCATTGACCGAGCAACCCAACGTTCCTACCAGCTCCCTCCGCAGGAATGTGTTAGCGTCATGTTACTTGGCAAGTTGTTCCGTCACTACTTTAACTCCGGTTATTTGCTTTTAGTGTTTAGTTAGTCGTCCTATCCCCGCACCTCCGATTAGCACGATGCCAAAGAAGTCCAAACATGCATACGTGCGTATTTCGCACACTTGCGAAACGGGTAAAGCTACAAAAAATGTTCACCTGGTAAGGCCCACTGAACTATAAAGCACATTTTCAGAAGCGACCGAGCCACAAATGATAACTCAATGAAGTGGCTCATCACGTGAACGTTTATAGCAGCCAAATACTCTAAACACATGTTAATTCTTAATATTGTGCTTGGGGGGAGGGGTGGGAAACCAGAGGACCTGGAGAAAAATCCACATGATCACTGGAATAAAATGCAAACTCCAAATATACAGCAGGTTCAGGGTTGGGATCGAACCTACGACCTCCTGCGTACCAGGCGAGAGAGTTAACATCTCACCACCACGGGTGACCTGTAGCTGTTGATGTCTCTGTAACAAAGCCATGTGACCACCTTATTTGAATAACATGAGGACCTAAGATATCACACAGCAATAGATTTCGGGATACCGCGATCCAAATGCGCGTGATTTTTAATACTGAACGAGATGGTCACATTTCACATTGGGTATCCTGCAAATGCATTCATGATCCACATATTGTTGTACATATGCCCAGTTCATCATCGCTTATCCGAGCGTCACATATTCGACTTCACAAACTAACCGCCCATACGCAGCACAGTATTTGTGCACGATGTAACTCAGCTTTTCTACATTTGTTTACAAATCTGACCTTTTCACTTATCCGCCCGTACATCAGTTCCCAGCGAGTCGGATATGAGACGCAGCATTCTACGTGTTCTATTTTTTGACTCGATAACCCAATCTGGCTTCATTGGATCACGTTATTTTCCCCATCGCTATGTCTTTGTTTTTTAAAGATGATTATCTCCTCTTCGGTTTTTTCGGTAAAGTCACGTAGGTACATTTTTTAAAAATAATAATTATAATAATAATGAAAATTATTATAATAATTATAATAATTATTACTATTATTATTATTTTACCTACGTGACTTTACTGAAAAAGCCTAAGAGTATCAATCCTTGCAGTCACGAAAGCTTCAAATCTAGAATAAATGATTACCTCCCCCACAGATGGGCAGAGAGTTTCGCGTGCTAATTCACTGACTTCTGTCCGTGAGCCCACATGCTCGAAACGAACGCGTCTTTTATAGACAATCAATTGTTGTGGACGTATAAGGTTTTTTGTTTAGGTGTTTGTCCTCTCCTCAAAATGACACAATTATTCGTCGAGTCATATTTAGGCAGAACTGCCTTCTGCATCTCCACGGGAATGCTGCTTTTGCCCGTTGTCTATGGGGTCGTCCATAAATGACGTCACGCGAATTTGGACGATTTTTTACCCCCCCCCCCTCGTCACACGACGTCACAAAGCTCTGCCCCCCCCCCAAATAAAACATGCTTCAAATCGCTTTAGACTATTGTCGTTGTAGTGCGTATTTAATGTGGCGCTGCACTCTGATGTTGTAGGAGAAAACATTTATAAAAAAAACAAATTAATTAATTAGAACGTGTTGTCTATATTTATTTAAAGTTGCGCATTTTGATGTGACGTCACATTTCTCACCCCCCCCCCCCTTCGTCACACATCGTCACAAATGTCTGACCCCCCCCACCCCCCTAGGTGCGTGACGTCACTTATGGACGGCCCCTATTGAATGTCCTGACCAAAATTATCCAGCAGCATTTCACATCTTCATACCGGGCCATTCATGCTTTTGGCGACCTTTGGTCTAGCAATGGTGAGACCAATCCATAACAGAGGTTGTCTCTGGTGTAGGTTCGTCAGTTTCAAGGACAAAGCGTACATTGTCGAAGCATATTTGTGAGCATTATTTTACCGCGAGTGTGTGTCGTTTGTGCAGACGACGCCTGGCAATAGGTGTCTATTTGACGTTTGAAACATCTTAACGCCTGAAGGATTATTTTTTTTACTACGAGAATTGCTGTGGCCTACGTCCATCTGTCTTCTTGGTTCTTTCGGTAAAGTCACGTAGTAGGGAAATAATACAATAACAAATAAAACATATTTTTTAATTATTTTATAAATAATTATTTTAATATGTTTTACTTTTATTATTTTATAAATAATTATTTTTAATGCTTTATTTTTATTATTTTATTATTTCCCTTCTACGTGACTTTAACGAAAGAACCAAGAAGATGAATCCCTGCAGTCACGAAAGTTTTAAATCGAAATTTACGTCCATCTGATTGAAGCTCCTGCGGGGGGCTTTGTCGGCACTACGCCCGTCGCCCCCACTGATGTCCCCTTCACCCCCCAATGTGTGCAGATACTACTGGCGATTCTATGTAGGATGTGTATGCAGATATGCGTACAAAAAATACATTTCTTTTTTTTAAATGGGGGTGGGTGAAATTATTTTGGGGAGGGGGGGTTCGACAATTGTTGTAAACCTGTTGGGTCAACTCTTTGGTTCTTTCGGTAAAGTCACGTAGAAAGAAAATAAATTAAATAATATAATACGACGTTTTGATTACAATCGTCATCAGGTAGAACTAAATTTGAGAGAGAGACAAAACACAGACACGGAGACCCACAGACAGACACACAAGCAGAGAGAGACAACACAGAGACACACACAGAGAGACACACAGAGAGAGAGACACACAACATAGACACACAGATAGACACACAAGCAGAGAGAGACACACACAGAGACACACAGAGAGACACACACAGCATAGACACACAGAGAGAGACACAGAGAGAGAGACACACAACATAGACACACAGACAGACACACAAGCAGAGAGTGACACACACAGAGACACACAGAGAGAGACACACAACATAGACACACAGAGAGAGACACACAGAGAGAGACACACAACATAGACACACATACAGACACACAAGCAGAGAGAGACAACACAGAGACTCACCGGGAGAGATACACAGAGAGACACACAACATAGACACACATACAGATACACAAGCAGAGAGAGACAACACAGAGACACACCGGGAGAGACACACACATAGACACACACACAGACACACAAGCAGAGAGAGACAACACAGAGACACACAGAGAGAGACACACAACATAGATACACAGACAGACACGGAGACACACAGACAGACACACAAGCAGACAGACACACACACAGACACACAGAGAGACACACAACATAGACACACGCTTCAAATCAAGTCTGTTGAGTCAACTTTTTACGCCCCACATCACGGAAGAAGGCGGCGGTCCACTTGCCATAACTTTTTGATTCAGGCCTTCTGAAAGCCTCTCATAGTTTAGTTGACGGAAAAACGGACAAACGGTACGCCGGGCTTTTCTAGTAGATTCAACATATTGACACTGACGAAATGTTCTCATTGACAAAACGTGAGATTTGTTTTCAAAGTTTGTGTGGGGTGTGAACGCTTTTTTTATGCATGTATTTTCTCGAGTAATGTCAACATGCCGTGGGATTTTTTTTAGGTTGGTTTATTACTTGTCAAGGCTGTTTAAAGTCATGTAAATTAGGCGTTCAGCATTCACATATAACGCCCATTAAAACTCGGATATGCGCTTTACTCAGGAATTAAACAATTGAGGGTGCATACATGAATCTCGTATAAGTAGCACATCAACAAGCTAGAGACGTGTTTTGACGTATGTATGTTGAACTTCTTTCGCACTATACGTAGCCAACCGTTCTAATCCAAGGTTATACAATGGGGCCGTCCATAAATGACGTCACGCACCTAGGGGGGGGGGTTAGATTTTTGTGACGATGTGTGACGAGGGGGGGAGTTGAGAAATATGACGTCACATCAAAATGCGCAACTTTCAATAAATATAGAATTGTTGTTATAACAACACTCCTACAACATCAAAGTGCAGCGCCACATTAAATACGCACTACAATTACAATAGTTTAAAGCGATTTTAAGCATGTTTTATTTTCAAAATGGAAATATGGCTTGGGGGGTGCGGGGCAGAGCTTTGTGACGTCAAATTTGAGGGGGGTCTAACTTTTTGTGACGCCGTTTTACGGGGGAGGGGGGGTCAAAAATTGTCCAAAATCGCGTGACGTCATTTATGGACGGCCCTAAGGACCATTTTTTTTACATCTGCTTTTCTACTCTGAAATTAGTCTCGCATTAAACATTTTATCTGCTATAATTCACCTCCATTGCTAGGTAACGGCAATATTCATGCTGGGTGCCCAGAACGATAAAACACGGGACAAAGTGAACCCTAAATACTCACTACGTGAGAACTATACAAACAATACATTCGTTAAACATTAGCCTGTGTTGATCTCAGTCTGTGTTTAATAACTGCCCGAGGAGTACACACTATGGGGAGTTTCCCAGTTCTGTCCCTCCCTACAGATACCGTCGATTCTTCAGGCTGCTTGTTGCAAAGGGCTTTTGTTTTGCCGGCGTTTCTGGGCAAGTTTAGGTTAGGTGGCTGCTACGAGAAATGTCCACGTGTGGTGATGATTATGGTGAGGATATCAGCCACTTAGATTTGCTATCACGTGTGGCCAGGTCGCCTCTGAAAAAAAATCCATTAATTCAGTGAGCTTTAGCTGGTGAATACAATAAAATAGCACTATCTGGAGTCCAATTTTGCAGATTTTTTTTCATTCAATTCTTAAGACCTTTACATTTGATTTCCCTTGGCCGTTATTACAATTCCCGTGTCGTCAGTAATCCTGAGCTTATTAATAATGGCGGAATGTTTGAGGGTGACGTGGGCAACTTTGAGTGCTTTTTGAAAAGTGAACTTAACTTCAACAAAAAACTGCGGAGGGAGCTGGTAGGAACGTTGGGTTGCTCGGTCAATGGCCAGGGACAACGGCGGCGTGGTGTATTCCGCAAATATGCCCGACTGTGAGGGCGGGCACAAGCCGGCGTGAGTAGATTAAACGTTGAGTTATATAAGGGCACCACGGGGTGACCAGCCCCTCCCCACCCAGTCCCACCAATCCCACCCCCCACCCAGCCCCACCCTCCCCACCCACCCAGCCCCTCCCCACCCTCCCCACCCAGCCTCTCCCCACCCTCCCCTTCTTCCCAGCCCCACCCTCCCCACCCAGCCCCTCCCCACCCAGCCCCTCCCCACCCTCCCCACCCAGCCCCTCCCCACCCTCCCCTCTCCACCCAGCCCCACTTCTCCCATTTTTGGATGCATGACGGACGGACGGACACAATAATCTCCTGTGGGCTGGTGTAACCAGGAGGTTCCTACCAGTACAAAGCACCTGACAAAGGTGCCTTGCGAAGAGAAGGGCGTTGTTAAACAGTGGGCATTAGCCACTGCGAGGTCACGGCTCTGTACAACGGACATTGACAACAACGAGACGCGTGTGAACACAATCTAAGAGGTGCGGCGGTCAAACAACGGTGGAAGCGGTTTCACGCTCGGAATTGCATCGCGAGAGAGAGAGTGGGGGGGGGGGCATGGCACGGATAACCTGTGCAAGTCAGTGGTTCACGCTTTCAAGGTGAATTTTGATAACCAGCAAAATGTATTCTTACACGCTTTTATTTAACTCACTGTCTGTTGTCGTATCCTCAAATCTTGTAACTCAATTTTGACCCACTTCCCAATGTGGTATCGACTGCAAACTTGGTATACTTATGTCATACTGATGACAATACTATATTCTATCATTAAAAATAAAATAAAAAATATTTTAACAATCTTTTTGATATGTTATGTTTCGGCTTGGGTCTAATTGTCCACGCTCAACTGAAGTTGGCTGTAAATCACCACGCCCCTTACGTTATGGCAAGCTTCGGGCCACTTCCTGGAGTCGTGGAGTTCTGCGATTACTCGTACGGTAGATTTCATTAACGCGTGTATCAAAAAAAGTATTTTAAATATTACTTTTTTTTCTTCAACGGTTTTACTTAACTTGAAAGCTGTGTCGTGGTCAAATCTTGTAATCAAAAGTCAGTCTACTTCCTGTTTTCCAATCAATCCCAATTTTTGCACACGTACTCAGATCCGGTGACAATGCATGCCTGTATTAAAAGCGGCATCAGTTCATCAATTAATTGCCTCCTTTCAAGCAATTACAATTTTTTCATGGACGGCATATTAATTATATATTTTTGTGTAGGTGATAAACGCCGCGGCCCCTAAACTGTGGAATCGCCTCGCGCACGAAGCAGGCGCCGCGCATCTCTTTGTCATCACGATGTCATCCACTTCCCCTTGTCCAAGCGAGTTATTGACTTTTTAGTGCACTTTAAAAAAGAAAACGTTTTTAAATGTGTTTATTTTGCCCGTTGTCTTGGCCACGTTGGGCCAGCGGGGCAGGAAGGCAGGGCCCGATGATTTAGTCCCACCGCATTATTTTGTGGACGGGGTGGGGGTGGTGTGGTGGTCTGTACACGCGGCGAGATGAAGCCTCCCTTCTAGATTTGAAGCTTTCGTGACTGCAAGGGTTCATACTCTTAGTTCTTTCGGTAAAGTCACGTAGGTAAAAAATGAAATGTTATTGTTTTATTTTTATTAATTTTAATTTCATTTTTTACCTACGTGACTTTACCGAAAGAACTATGAGTATGGAAGCCTCCCTGCCCGTTCGTCGCTCCGTGACTAATATTTGTCACGCGTGGTCATCGGCATCGCCGGTTTGCGATGCAGAGTGAAACACACCACGTGGTTCGCGCCGTGCAGCCGAAGGGAGGTGAGAAAGGCGTTGCATTGCCTTTGATGTTGACAGCGCTACCCGGCGAAGCTGGTTGCCATGGCCGAGCAAAGCTATCGATGGATAAACACGGTGCCGCCCCGGTTTACGTCCAAGGGGATGCGTTCCTGAAAGGCGCCATGACGAATATCGAAACGGCGTAAATCGAAACACTTGACAGGGTTAGTGGTGGTGAAGGCGACGGATGACGAGGAAAGAGCGGATGATGCTGCCAAGCGACGCAAGTGGCGGAGTTGTACACCCCTAGCTGCCAGTGCTATTCAGTGGCCTAAAATAAAATGTTTCGCTCCGGATGATCGCTACAAAGTATGACCTGTGTTTTGATTTAGTGTGCTAATCTTAAAGGTGCATTGAAAAATTATAATACTCCGATTGATGCTCCTACTGTTGTGGAGTGACTCATGCAGCCAGCTATGGCTGCAAGGTTTTGGTAGTACATGTTGTTTATGCCGTTTATTGTGAAAATTCCGTCACAGTTCCTATGATCACTGTTTCATTGGTTTCATGGCTTTATTTTGGTGATTTCGAAAAGTGTATTGGTTTAGCCACGTTTGTTTGTTGTAGTACAGAGTTAGACTGATGGCCTTAATTTAAGTTGTCTTGTGGGTTGTTGTTGTTGTTTGACTTGCATCCCACTGAGATTTTTGCACACAGCGTTGGTGTACGGTGTTTTTTTCTGCAAAATTTTGCTGTCTTTTCTTGGATTTCCTGTTTGCACTCAGTCACATATTCACTTTAAGATGTTTTTTTTTCATGTTTTTGTTTTTTGTTTGTTGCGGTTGCACCCGATTCAAGAGCCGAATGGCTCACAGGGCTATACCTAATACATGAACTTGAACTTGAGGCGACGCATGTCATCGGCTCGTGGTTTCGCTGTACGTCAAAGACCGTGGCGTTGCCGCAAGAGTCGACGGAGCGACTGACAACCGCACCTCCTTTGAGTGCGCAGATGCATCTCCTTGAGTGGTGCCGATCGTACAACACCAAATATAATTCTCAGCTAAATACAATTGTTGGGGCAGGTTAGTGTGGGTTTGGGTATCTCTAGTTGGCAGCTTTTCCTTAATATATGTCCATGTGCCTTTCTGCATGCGTGTGTGGGGAGCGGTGGAGTAGCGGTTAGCACGCTGTGCTACAAAACTGGCAACCCAGGTTCGATTTCCGCTCACGGCAAACACTGGTGACGATTATCTGAATCGGTCCTGGGCCTCCATTGGGTCGACTCAGCGTCAAGTGAGTACATTGTGCGATGTGTAAACATCGCCACGAGGGAGACAAAGGCGGCCGGGAGTAGTGTTGGCCACCCACCCCGTCGCGTGCCGTGCCGGCCTTTATAGGTGCTCGCTAACAGCACTTGCCCCTACAGTCTGTTAAGGCTACACGGGGGATCTTTGTGCGGTGGTTGGCACACTGCGCCACCCGACTTAGATGAGGTTCAATGCTTAACTGAAACACTTACGAGTACATCCTAATTACGAGGCCCATCAGTCAAAGTCAATCCACCACCATCTGAATGTCAAATTGCGATTGTTGCTCTGGATCTGCATCAGCCACACGAAATAAGTCTACAGTGCCTGGTTATTCCCAGGCAGCCTTCCATCCAACTACTCACCAGGCTCAACCTCGATTCATAACCTTACCGCTCTGGCCTCTGTATGTGAAGAAGGGGCATCGCCTGAATCGTCAACCATTATATCTGTTGTTACTTTTGAAAGGCAGTGTTATTGACGAATGTGTTGAATTTTTCAGATTCAACATAATGATCCGATTGAATCTGTGGCATCAGCAACTCTTGACCACCCAGCACAGCCGCACGCTTTAACAGTCGCGTGGCGTGCAAGCGTTTAGGGGGGGGGGGGGCCATAATTATCGTTTGAGATTATGGGCAGGTCTTCGCAACAATCCCGACAACCGCCTGTACCGATCAGACTCGGCGTTTCGATTGCGACCACGCCAAAGCGCCGCCAGGACAAAATCACGGAAGGTCACAGTGACGACTGCCCCGGCAGCGAGGGACGCGTCCCTGACCCCGCACGGTCAACGTCGGAGGGCTCACCTTTCGGTAGCTCGTTGCTCTGAACGACGCCGAGGAAGGCGTGCAACATGGAGAACAGCGCCTTGTATCCTCCCTGGTCGAAGTTGGTGTCCGTCAGGTATCGTGCGGGACTCAGCGTCGGCGATGGCCCCGATCCGACGCCGTCCTGCGGCGAGGTCGTGGCCCCCGCATCTCCCGGCGTGGTCGGCGGTGGACCGAACACGGCCGAAGCGCCGGGGGCCATGAGGGCCAGCGAGCAGATCGCCGCCAGGAGCACCGCGAGCGTCCGGCCGCGGACGCACGGAGGGCTCGCAGCAGCGCTCGGATAAAACGAAGCCATCGGCTTGCGGGTTTTTAATTTTATTTGCCTTCCTTCCGTTCCTTGCTTACCTCCAAAACGAAACGAAATATTGGGACGAGTGTACGGGAGTTCCTCGAGTTGCGGGATGCGCTCTTGCCGTCAACTCGGGGCAGCCGACGGAGAGGGGAGCGAGAGAGCGGTGGGTTAGAGGCAGGGTGGGTTGTGTGTTAGAGGCAGCTGCCGGGCGCGTGCAGGTGAACGATGACGTGGGGCGGTGGAACATAGAATGGGGGAGTGGGTATCGGGCAAACGTGCGTGACGCATGACATTTACTGCAGGTGGTAAACTTTGGCATCCGATGAGTGGCTTGCTCACCTCGGGAAAAGCGCGCTGTTAATAGGTCAACGATTAGGACAATAAAATGACTGTCGCAAAGTCAAACTCTTAAGTAACTTTGCAGGATTAATTGGACGAGGTGCACTATACATTGTATGTGTACTTACCGCGTTCTCAGGATGATAATATGCGCCAGAATGTCAGATTCCCCTGTGTCAACAAATCTGGTCTCAAACACACACATAGCGTGGTAACCACATCTACGCCTCTATATAAGGAACAAAACAGCAAGACTTCTCCACAAATCTGGCTGTCGCCTGATAAAGCTCGTTGTAATTACTGGCGAAACGTCATATTAATTTTGTAAATGTCGTGGCTTGGCTCTCCAACACACCGGTTAGTGCTGTACTCGTGACGAATTGGCCACGTTCTCGATTTAAAGCTTTCGTGATTGCAGGGATTCATCTTCTTGGTTCTTTCGGTAAAGTCACGTAGAATGGAAATAATAAAATTATAAAAATAAAACATAATATTTTATTATGTTTTATTTTTAAAACATAATAATATTTTATTATGTTTTATTTTTAAAACAATAATATTTTATTATGTTTTATTTTTATTATTTTATTATTTCCATTCTACGTGACTTTACCGAAAGAACCAAATAGATGGCCACGTTCTGTTTACTTGACAGATTCCAAAGAAGTTGGCTGTGTCGGGTGATGGCGGGCTTAACGACACATTTATATATTTACGCGATATAACCATAAAAATTTAACCCGTAAAAATTAAGTTTTTCACTATAAATTCTTTATATGCGTGGCATCGGTTTTATTTTATTATTTAATTCTGTTTTTCTTGAGTAAGAGTTTCATTTTTATCACATTGGTATTTTAAATGAGATATGAATTTTTTTTTCCTAAAAAGTGGAATTAATTTTTCAAAAATTTTCACGAAAATAAATTGTCACGCACAACGAGTCTGTGTGCAAAATGTCAGCTCGATTGGATCACGGGAAGTGGGTTAAAAAACGACCTAAATATGTGCACGGTCGTGAGCACGCAAGCAAGCAAGCAAGTGAACTTAATATAAAGGATTTAAAAACCTCTTATGGATGATATTGGTCGCGACAGCCTAAGTGTTAAACACACATAGCTAATGGATTGCAAATCGCACCCCCAACGTTTGTTTGTCGATACAGGTGTAGCCTATGCATCTTATAATCCGGAGATAGTGCTCAATTTATAGAACATCTCTATATTTTACTGAATCTCAGTAAAGTTCACTGTTCTTGCTACATAACAGAGTTAGCAACACAGAAAATCCAGTGTTTGCAGAGCTTACATGAAAGCAATGTTGGTAAGAATGAATAAGCACTCTCTCATATGAGCCCATGAAAAACATATACAATGGCTTAGTCATAAACAAATTATCTTATCAATCAACGTATATGTGCCTGTCTATTGCAGTCATAGATAACTCAAATTAATCAGATGTTAAGGCTTTGTTAACACGGGATGTTTAGAAGTAGCTGAGTGGCTGAGATGTCTAATTTTGTGTCAGAGCACAAAGATAGAACAGCTGAGATAATGTTAAGATTGATCTTCATACAATTGCCTCTGATTAAATTGGGTTCTCAAGTCTAGCAAGTTTTATGGTTGTGTGCATCTGGTCACCGATGACTTTACGAAATTAAAGCATCTTGTATATTTTTCACTTCACATCCGATGTGTATTATTTAAGTGCCAACCACTTTCAAACTTCAGTGTGATATCCATGCAATTACGCGACTCGGTAGCAGAGCTTGTGAGAATGTACAGCGGTGCTCACAGAGATAACAACGAACAATTGATGGGGTCTCAGAAGTCGTTCTCTAGTGTCTCCTTCCAGAGGCCGATCTCTAACATAAAGTTACGTGACAACGCTTTCTGTGACAATTCCAAATTCAACATTTCTTCATCTCGTAACGCTACACTGACATCACATTTGGAATGTAAGTGGGGGTAATAATACGTATTCTTTCATTGGGCAAAAAATAAAGTTATAATTTGCCTTAACTTGGGTAGAAGGTGACTGCTGTCCTGATGAGTAATGCATCTGAACTTCACTTGGATGGACATTTACATCTTCTTGGTTCTTTCGGTGAAGTCACGTAGAGGGGAAATAGTAAAATAAAAATAAAACATAAAATAAAATTCTCACGACGTTTCGGCTGCTTCTGTTGTGGCCGAAACGTCGTGAGAATTTTATTTTATTACGTTTTATTTTTATGTTATTATTTCCCTTCTACGTGACTTTACCGAAAGAATCAAGAAGATGAAACCCTGCAGTCACGAAAGCTTTAAATCGAAAATGGGCATTTACACTTCTTTCAAATGTTCCATATCATTCTGTAAACAAAAAAATGCGTGGTTAGCGCTTAAAAACACAAACCTTGACGTGTCACGCTTTTGACCTTCGCACAATTATTTTTTGAAAGGTAAGGGCGCAGCCCTGCAATGTCTCGCGAACGCCACTGCTGGCGGCAGGGCCTCCCCTCGAGAAGGAGCTCGTTCGAGGGAGTCCCTTCGGAATGTATTTCACCGAACTCTTCCACGCTGGCCACATGTCTTGGCAGAGGTGGGAGTTCCCACACTTTGCCCCACCACACGCAACCTACCCACCGACTCACCACCGGTGTAACCCAGTTGCACCGTTGGGGCCCACCGCAGAGGTGCAGGGGGAATTGATAATTTTTGCACCGCAGAGTTTCAACTTGCGTGCCGGAAGAGGACATCGAACCGGTGACCTCTGGATTTGCAAGTCCACGTGGCTCACCGTTGCACCGCGGCAGGGTCCCCACCACGGGAAAAAATATATCTCTACGATCACATTCGTGGACTTTCCCGACAATCTCAGGTTTCTGTTCTTGTACGTGGCAATATGTTCGGGAGATAAACGGCCACCTTCAAAGTCTGCCACGAGAGGGCTTCAGCAGAGATAATTCCGTGTTGTTTTGCTGTGCCTCCTCCTCCGTGGAAGGAGTGCAGACGACAGTGCTTCACTATACTGTCCCACGTTTAGATTGACCTGTGGCTGGTGTTTTTAATATTGTGTATCGGCCTTGTTGACGTTCTTATGCGTTTGATGGCCCCACCACCAGTCCCTTCGAGGGATGTCACAGCCAGGAGGAGGTGCGATGATAATGGAGTCAAGAATGAGGAGTTTGTTCCGGACGTCCGCGTTGTTCCACTCTGTTCGCTCAGCAGCAGCAGCAGCAACAGAAGCGGTTCTTCCGGATCTGGTTGAGAATCTAGGATGGTGACAGCAGCAGCAGTGGCAGCAGCAGCAGCGGCTTCTGGACTTGAATCGGCGGTGAGGGGACGGCGGTGAGGTCTTGGTTGATTGGAAGGTGGTAGTCGTCGTCGTCAGGAAATAAAAGGTGTCAACTCCCTCGCAGTTGTGCGCGATGTCCCTGCGGACATTCGGAGCCAGAATATTCGCCAGAAGAGGCAGCAGGCCCGGCGATCGGTGTTGGCTTCAGTGCTAGCGTTACGATTAGCAAAATGCAGTCACAGGTAAAGCACGTCACATCGGCAGCGTGATCAGCAAGGCGTGCAGTGCACGTTTCACTATTATAAATACACTTACAAAATAATCTACGTAAATTAATATTTTGTAGCACACATCAGACTATTACTGCAGAGTAATAGTCTGATGTGTGAGTCTAATTTAAGTGCCGTACGTGAATTTAAATTCAGAGGAGTTTGCTGTTGAAACTTGATTTGTTTTTTTATCTGGCATGATAAAATCACTTTCTGCAGCAGTGCCAGTTTTAGTTTTTGAACAAATGGGAATGTCTAAAGATGTCTGTGGTAGTGAGATTTCAATCACCAACTAACTTCTATAAAGTGTCTACTGTGACGTTCATTTAATGTTTTATGTATAAACGTGCATTAATTTGTCAACCTACTGCTGGTAAAACGATATCCCCGTTCTGTTTGGGTCATGAGTGCTGTTTGACCATACTTCACCCTTCTGGTCAATGGTTCCGATATCGCTCGCGGGCTCATGTTCGCCCTGGCGTGCAGTTCATTAGTCATGGTGCAAAGTCCAAACAATGAGAATACAACTGGTTTATATGTGTAAATAAAGCAGTTGTGAAGGGGTTCATGGACTTATATCTTAGCCTACACTTTGCAAAGTAATAAAGAAATACAAGCATAGCGATGGTTAAATTACATGCAGGATTTCAGAAAAGTCATCATCCGTCCTTAAAAAATAGTTTTTCGACAATAGTGTAAACTGTGTGGTTGAAATGTTGACAATATAGCGCATCTAGAATTGTTATGGTGGAAAAAAAACGAAGAGATAGGTTGATCTTCAACATTGCATGGGAAGATCGTTCGAAAGCTCGCTTCAAGCTGCTGGAAATCACGCGGGACTCTCTGACACCTCGATGTGTGTCACCGATGCCACGGTGAACACGTGGGAGGTTGTAGAGGGATGAAACTCGTGCGACAAAATGTTTATAATTTCCCAATGCGCGCGCGAATGTGTGTGCGCGTCTCTATGGAGAGCAGTAGTGTCGTGGTTAGTTCATTGCGCTGTGAACTTGGCGACCCGAATACAATTCCCGCTCACGACTAATCGCAGTGTATTTGAATCAGTCCTGTGCCTCTGCAGCCTGATATGTTAACTACCTCGCCTGGTATACAGGAGGTCGTGGGTTTGATCCCGACTCTGATGCCTGCTGTATATCTGGAGTTTGCTTGTCTCTCTATCTCCCTGTGGTCGCGTGGATTCTTCTCCGGGTCCTCCGGGTTTTTCCCTCCACATTTAGAAACGTGCATTTAGAGTATTTTGGCTGCTGCTATAGATTTCCACGTGGTGTGCCACTTTGTTGAACTATGATTTGCGGCCAGGTCGCTTCTGAAAAATAGCTACAG